ATAATTTAATAGCTTTGCTCTGCGTTGCCATGCAGGAGAGTGAGTGGTGTTTTTGGTTTATCTCACCCCTGCTCTCTCCTGGGAGCAGTTAGTATTACTGAATCAGCAAGTTTATCCCTGGGGAAGACATTTTCTATTGCTTAAAGGCAACTCCAAGCAATGACTGTTAAGTAGCAGTGTGATAGAATTCATGGGCATTCCATGCAGATTTTTCTAACAGTGGTTGCATGACATAGTCTTGAATGGTGTTAGATGTCCAGCATTGCTTTGTGCAGCAGGGATATTTGCAGGTTTTTCTTGTTGATGGCAGTGGAGTTATGCTAAGAATAAACGTGGCTCTATAAATTATGAAATCAGGTCACGTTGTCTGGTTTGCCTGCCATAGGAATGGCCTCTCGTTTGCTGGCTTAATCTAGGCTTCATTTGTGTTTCTCTCTCCTGTATTATGTATGGGTAAGGGCTCCTACAGCAGAAAAGGTACCTGCCTCCAGACGCTTGTCTCTTCAAGTATTTTGTTTAACTTAAATTGCACTAAGTATACACAGCACTTCAGACGATAAGATAACGACCCAGAGGAACTTATGTACCAATATATGCGTGTTCAGGACACCAGTTTCTCACAAGTCATTGAGCCAGGTATTGAAGGAAGTTATCTTAAAGCACTCATCATTGGAAAAATCCTTTGTCAGTTTTCCCTAAGCACCCCAATGAACATTTTATTAGTGCATGAATAACCTTTGCAGCCCTGGCAGAGACTGGAAATTCATTCTTTCTTTTTAAAATTTCAGATCATCCCTTTTCTGAATATTCTTTTCAAATTACAAAGAGAGGAACCCCCACCCCAACCATACTATAAAGTAGCTCTTTCTAAGTGGATCAAACTTAATCACCAGCCGTTCAAGTTTCTTGTAGTTTCTGCCATGAATAACATGCCACTAGCAAAATGAGTGAATGAGAATGTTAACTTCTTGGGTCCAGATGCACATCTGATACTGCTCTATTGATTCTAGTGAGGTTGTGCCCATTTGTACTAGGGCTTAATTTGGTTTAGGATGTTGACTGGTTGGGCAAGAGAGAGCAGTTGTAGTTGGGACTTCCAGAAATGCCTTTGCATATGAAGTACTCTTGCTACTGTCTGCCTAACGGACAACAATCACTTCAAATTTCAAGTAAATCAGAACAAACTCACTGCCCCGTTTCCTTTAGATTTCATCTATTCATGGAAATTAGAGATGGCAAATGGGGAGGAGGGGGCGGAGGGGTGTGTGTGTGTGTGTGTGTGCGTGTGTGTGTGTGTGTGTGTGTGTGAGAGAGAGAGAGAGAGAGAGAGAGCAAGAGAACAGGATTCTATAGAACTTTCATTCAAAATGGTGTATTGTTCTGTTGCAATTGCCTTTTCTCCACTGTAACTGCCCTTACTAAATAACTTTTATGGGAATCAGTGGACTAACCATGAAAAAACAGCTTGTCTAAACTGGCTGTAAGGAAGTTTCTGATCAGCTGCCCAGTTTGCAGAAGTGATGAGCAACGGTCTTGAAACTAGATGAACCATTCATTGGGATTCACAGTTTTCATGCAACTTTGTGCAAATGAATTCTTTGAGTCCATTGACATGTGGGTGTTTGTCTTATAAATCAATTAGGCCTGAAATAATGTTTTATATCAGCTTAAAACATCTGATGAGACCAGTTGATTCTCTCACAGAGCAAATGAGGAGAGTTTTATGTTCAGTCTAGTTTTAAATTCAGCCATGTCACTGTTTATCCCATTCATTTTGTGGCCACATGTCACAGTTCAGGTGCAGCACTGACAATATAGGTCTTAAGTCATTACATGAAACCAGTGCCTCACCTTAGCATTCGAGTCTGTAGTTGGATCCTGTGAGATTAGTGGTCTTCCCTATTACAGATGACAATCCGCTAACCCTGAAGTTATTTCATCAGCAATATTGTGCTCGGAGATCCTGCTGATCTGCAGCAATCATACCTTTGAAAATTCATGTCTTGTCAGTATGCCTGTTACATGCCATCCCGGTCTGGTTACCTGCAGATTAGCAGCCATATAAATTGGGAAAGTGGATGTAGCAATAGCATCCTCACTCTAAGATCTTGTACACCAGCCTTGGGAATTTACTATCTGAGACAACTGATCACCATTAACTTGATTCTGCTTTTTAATTTCCCGGGGCAGATTTTGCTAAAAGAAATGATATTTTACCAGTCTTTTGACTTCCCATTTCTTAAGTTTCTGAATCTTTCACATGTTTTGTAAATATATTACCTTGAAGATTAGTCAGTAAGATGACTACTGCTTAATGCAACAATACTTCATTTTCAATACCATGAAGAAAATTCACAATGCAAACATGAAGTGGGAAAAAACCCTGTGACTCTCTGGCATATGCCTTCAGGAATCTATTTGATTTAAGAATTTTATGTCCTGGTCTTGCTGTCATATTAATCTGTTCTTTGGCTGCGGTGTTGACCCCAGCTGGCCGTAGTGAGTCAGCACTGACCCCATTGCCAAACATGGAGCAGGCACAGAGGCATCGTCAGCAGGATTTCATTAAAATTGGATTTTTATTAATTTTTTCTTTCTCCCTGCCAGCTCCCTTTCCAGCGATAGAGGAAAATAGACGTCTGCAGTTTACAGCTACTATAAATGTCTGCTTTCTAGTCTAGGCATATGTTGTAGTTGAAAGTCTGTGTAAATTATTCAGAAGGTCTCTCTTAATACTGACACTGTTCATGTGCTCTTTCATGTTTAAGTATAACTTCTCTCGGTAACTGAGAACCTTCACTGATCTTTGAGTGAGGATAGAGCATATATCTCACTTAAGTGAAATTATGTTAAAGTTCAGACTAAGGTGAAATGGGCATAAATGGCTTTGCATCTTAAAACCAAATGGCTTCCAAAGGGAATTGGGCTGAAGTCAGGACTGCAATATTGGGCCCTGTACTCGGATAACCTTTACTGGCCACTTATCAGCCTATTATTATCATCAGTGCCTATTTCCACTGCAAGGTCATTTTTAATTGAGGGTGGATAAACCAGTTCAGATGTCATGCCCTTTTTCCTCTCTTCTCCTGGTTTACACAAAACTAGATCCAGGTGTTCTCTGAAACTAAAATATATCGTGGTTCCCCCCCATCTTCTTAGTTTCCATATTCGTTGTGCACTTCTGCCCTTCCAAGTTCCAACTCTGGAAATACCTGAAACTCTCAAGACCGTGTTCTTAGGAGACTTGCAAAGGCTAAAGTTGTGGATCCAAGAGGTTCAGATATGTATCTGAACTGACTGAGGTTTGCCCATCAGGACTTTGCATGCACAGACCTTGTATCTCACTTGGAAACCTTTTGAGGGATGAAGGTCCCATTGATGCATAATCCTAATTTTAACTACAAGAGGACCACAAAGACTAAGGTGCTCTAAAAGCCTATAGCAACATGTTCTTCCTTTTGTCATTGCTAAAGAACATCAGTACAAATTATTTTCCAAGACTAGAAGCCTCAGGGCGGATTGAGCTTCTGTAAGAAATATGAATAAAGGCACCTCTCATTATTACATTACAAAGATGCATATTCATATCCCACTATCCAAATGATATGTGGCACTGGCAAAACATCAAATCAGAGGCTTGTGTGTCTCTCCTCTACATCTTCAGATGTACTTGGAATAATGTATAAAACGTGGCGTTTGAGTAGCTAGATTTTAGCATGACATTTTTATCAGTAATTTTTTATGCAAATGTTTCTCTTTACAAAACACTCAAAGCACTTCCCCTCTGAACCTTACAGTGCATCTTTCCCTAGAGCCCATTCCTTTCTCACACCATCCTTTCCTACTGGATCCAGCAACAGGACCTCAGCAAGCAGTGTTGTGCTGTTGGTCACTCAGCAGATAGTACAAAGGGACTGATTGTGGGCCTCAAACTATGGGAGTGAAAACTTTAAGGAAAAATACATGTATATGATAATTATCCAATGCGGTACAACCCTCCTCGGTTATGTTAAGGGAATTAGCTGGTCTTTTATTAGTTTTTTGGTATTTTAAAAACAACAACAAACTGTCGACCTCAAGTTTGTGTTTAAATAAATTAAATATGGATCTTGGGCTGATGCAGAGAAGTGACAGGCAATGGCCACTGAAGCCACTGGGAGGAAGCCACTGATTTACACAGGGCTGCATGAGATTTGTGAATCCCCAGTGACTGGTTTCATTGAGTTTTGAGGCTATAGCTCAAAATTTTTGGAAACCAAGCGGATACCAAAACTTACCATGCAACTAATTTAGGGAAATAGGTTGTTGTTTTTTTCCCCCTCACAGGTTAGTCCATTGGCTTCCACTAAAAGGATCTTAGTGAGGCCAAAATTACATTATGGAAAAAGCACTCCAAATCAGAGCTGAATAATAACCCAGTTTGATTCCAGAAGTATTCTGAGAACCCCAGTTTCACAAGTGCACATGCTTTGTCCCTGTTCTGTGGTAGGATGTTTTTGTCACCATTAGAACATGGATAATGGGTAGCTGTTTTAAAACCAGTTTCAGTAAGGAACTTTTACCTTTTTGCCTTTTATTTTGAAGGGTAGTTTGGCCATCTTGAAGTAATGTTTGTGATCTGTAGAATGACATCAATTTGTTTTAAAGATAAAAGCACTATTTGATTTCCCCACCCACCCCAGTGAATAAAATCTCTAAGCACCTAGGGCCTAGTCTATACTGGGGATTTGTCCCAGTTTCAGCAGTCAGTGGCAAGCCACTGGTGTGCAGAAACCTGGTGTAGATAGCTATAGGCAAGGGTTTGCACTGGTGCAGCCTTTTCCAGTTTCATTAGTGCAGATATATTGGAGGCTGAAACGAAGGCACATATTCCATGTTGAGAAAGCGTACATAAAATCTGTGAGCATCTAGCATGTTTGTCTTTGGGTACAACAAGCTCATCCTTCTCAGAACATACAAAACCGTGCTGCTATGTGACTGCTCAATGATCTCTCTTGCAGGTGATGAAGACTTACCACATGTACAATGCGGACAGCATCAGTGCTCAGAGCAAGCTGAAAGAGGCAGAAAAACAGGAAGAGAAACAGATTGGGAAGTCGGTGAAGCAAGAGGACAAACAGACCCCACGCTCCCCTGACTCAACTTCCAACGTTAGGTTTGAAGAGAAACATGTCCGACGGAGCTCAGTCAAGAAAATAGAGAAAATGAAGGAGAAGGTAAATGAGCAGTGACACTGAGGAAATAAATGGTGTTGGAAGGAGAGCTTTGCAATTATTCACCAGAGTGACTGCTGAGAAGTTTCCTGTTAGTGATACTTACATTCGAAACACAACATTATAATGCAGGGTTAAGGATGCAATGTTGGGAAATGCAAAGGTTAACATTGTCATTAACTTGGCTGGATAGCCCAGCAGCCAAATTTTGTAATTATCTTCAGTATGCATAGTTGCTGCAGAGCCAAAGCCTCTTTACTTGGAGAGAGGTGAGGCTAGAAGGTAAGGAATATCTTCCTTAAAGTTGCTCTTGGGCAGGTTATTGCCTTCTCTTCAACGTTAATGGGGTAGTAAGATATGGGGCCAGATCAGTAGCAACTGATGTTGCAGCAGCTGAAGGTCTGGCCCATGGTATCTGGAGGCGCGCAAGCAAACACGGGCAAATGTTAATCCCTACCTCTTTCCTTAAGCAGATCCACATACTTTAACAATCAAATTAAGTGGCCCAGAGGACTTGCCTGTCTGGAGGTCGACTGAAATGACATCTTGTTTTTAAGTCACCTTATAATGTTGTAAGACCATCTAACATTTCACGCCCTCCACTCCCTCTTTGTTTGTGGGTTGTCTGCAGGTAAAGCCCTAAATGCAGGGTTGTCTGATTAACAATCTGAGTTGATCTAAATTAAGCCTTGGAATTTTGTGAGATGAAATTAGTTTCCAAATGAAGGTAAATGAGCATTGAGATGAGGTGTAATTGTTCTGAGGGCACAGTTTGTTCTGCCACCAAGAAGTTTTTTTTTTTTTTTTGAATGAACTCTTTTGTTTCTTTTCAGCGCCAAGCAAAATATACTGAAAATAAACTGAAGGCCATTAAGGCAAGAAATGAGTATCTGTTGGCTCTGGAAGCCACCAATGCATCTGTGTTCAAGTATTACATCCACGACCTGTCTGATCTCATTGATGTAAGTGCGCTGCTACTTGGGTGAATGTCGTTCCCATTAACCCCACTGTGTGCATCTCCTTCTTTGACCCCTTTTGTGCTAGCATCCTTTGTAGCCCCTCTGCAATGTTGTCTGCCTGAAGAGCAGAACAGGCCCTGATCACTGTACGTTGGGGAAATGTACCAGGTACAATAGTCAGCAGTAAAAGGGTTAAGGAGGCTTTTCTTAAACAGTTGCTTGGCAAAGGGAGTGTTAAAAAGAAGGGGAGTTTGTACAATGGGCACAGAATACAGAAATCTTTATAAAGAGGGAATGCTTCATTTGTTTCATTTTTTATACGTACTGTTTTAAGCAAATCCCCAAGATTATAATTGAAAGAGACAGGTTTTTGTAAAAAAGGAAAATGTGTTTGTAAAACTATAAAACAATTGGCAGAAGGACTCAAAGGCAGATGTAGCTCCCAAAACTGCTTTTAACTTTTTTTTTTTTAATTTGTCTAACTTTCAAATGTATGGTGTCTCTTTATAGAATGTTCAGTGAGATATGTAGAGAGCCATGCTCTTGTATCCAGGACCTCCCGCTGATTCAAATCCACACAGGTCTCCAGTGACGTAACGTGTTTCCGACTGCTGCTATTTGAACTGCATAATATAAGATTTGTGTTAGGCCAGTTCACAGTGGCAAGGTGTATGTATCACCAACAGTCCCGCTAATTCCCACCCCTAGCTCAATGGTAGTCTCAGCAAAGGGGGAAGAAAGAAATGGTCTATGGAAAGAGAACTCTCCTGTTCCCTAGAAGAGTCCCATCAAGCTTAGGGTTGGGGCAAATTATCATAAAGCAGTATGTATGGCTAGTTGCCCTGCATCTGCCTATGTGGTACACATTCTGCGGCTAAACAGAAGACCTCAGTCTCCTGGAGTGGCAATTTAGCATGTTTCTCTTAGCGCTAAATTTTGTTTTATTAAAGATATACACTGAATAAGTAACAGCTACTTTTATCATCTCTGCCTTAACATTCACACTTGTTGGAAACCTCAGAAAAGCCACTTTGGGAGTCTGAGATGATCCAGGGCTTGTCTTCCCATATGGCGCTACAGTGGTGCAGCTGCAGCAAAGATGCTCTTACGCCGACGGGGGAGCTGCTCCTGTCGGTGTAATTAATCCACCTCCCGGAGAGGCAGTAGCTGTGTCAGTGCTATCTACACGAGGGGGAGGGGAGGTTAGGTCGATATAACTACCTCACTCAGGGGTATGGATTTTTCACCCGAGTGATGTAGTAATGTAGTGTAAACCTGGTCCCAGTCTTTCAGAGCTAGTGTTGATTAATGTTTTCCTCTAGTGTGAGTGCCCCGCCCCACCTCACAGGCATGAGCTGCATTGAATTAGTTCTGCTCATCAAGTCATTGATTGCTATTGGATCCCACTTTGTTCCATTTCTGGATGACAACCCTAATATTTCCCTGTAATCGAGGTTAAAACCATCTTTGCTGAGCCCTGGGGGAAGTTGTTTGGAGGAAGCTATGTGGGTGGGTGCAGTGGGTGAGGTGGGGGTTTGAACAAGAGAATTAATTCCTCATCTCTGATCACTCTTCACTGGTCATTATTCAGCCAGTTGTAAAGTCAGACTAGCCATGCTCAGTGTGCTGCAAGGTTCAAGTATTTGAGATTCTTACTGCTCTTTCCTCTGCAGATCAAGACTCTCCATACTAAGACCTTTTAAAATCTTTTTATTTGGAGGTGCAGCTGTAACTATTAAACGGAGGGTTGTCATGCTGTGTGATGCATCATGGCAATGCTGTTGTATCGGTGGGACATCCAGCATTTCCACTATAACCCCTGTCTTTTGAGGGGTTTGTACCTGACATATATAAAAAAAAAAAAAAATTGACTTGGATTTGTATTACAGCTTCTTGACTTTATAGAAAATTATTACTTTCTGGGTGTTCTAAAGGAGGTTAAGGGAGTTGGACACCCAGTTCCCATTGAAGTCCAATGGGATTTGAACACCTAATATTCTCAAATTCCTTTTGAAACTTCCAGTTCTAGTTTATAACAAATTATTGTAAAGTACTCAGCCAACAGACTGCTAGTTCTTAATATGCTTCCTATGAGCTATGTGTAGTGAAAAATCTCACAGAACCCACTTAGATTTCCTTGATAAATCCTTAACTCTCCTTTAAACACCAAGGAGATCCCAAGAAGTTTATAGCGGTTTAGCCGGCAGGACTTGTCTTGCTAAGAGTGCTCTGGCTGCTCTGCTGGCACAGCTGTCTCCAGACTATACACAGGTGCAAGGAAGAACAAAAGTTTCAGCAGTGCTTAATTTTTTTTACCATTCCTTGACAGACCACAGTAGGTCACATGGCTACAGTTCAGGCCATGTTCATGCACAATGACATAGTTAACCCTTTAGCCACTTGATTAACTGTGCAAAGTGCATACTTAAGTGTGTATAGAGCATTTATCTGTAGATTTCCCCCCCCCCCCCCAGTGCATTACAAGGACTGGTAAGCACTATCAGCTCAATTTTTTTCAGAGGGGGAAACAGTCACACAGGTGAAGGGACTTGATGGTTCACTCAGTGAATCAATGACAAAGCTGGAAATAGAGCTAAGTGTACTCCCAGTCTAACAATGACACTTGTAAATTGCAACTGTTAATAAGACACTTAAACCTACCAATGGTAAAGCCCTGTTGAATTGAGGGTCTGATTTAAATACAAACAGGATCTGAAAACCAACCCTGAAACACCTACAACATCCTCAATGGAAATAGTGGTGAGTTAAGAACGGTGTGTTGTCCCAGACATTCGTCAGTGGTTCTGTTTCCCGACTCTGGTGACTGAGGCAGATCCTTGTGTTAATGAAATTATTGCACTAATCGAAAAATTGATCTTGAGAGAAGTCCGTTTTGAGCCACCTTTGAGACCCTTCTGCAATCTGTATTTTCTCTCAAAAAAGCCAGTGGACCACTAAGGCTGAAAAAGGAATGAAGTCAGGGGATGTGTGAGTGAGTGTGTCTGACAGCCTGCTTTTAGGGTGCGTTTGCAATCCTGGGAATAAACAGATTTCTGCTGTCTCAACAAGAGCTCAAGGTTTCCCTTTCCTTTTCCCTTGCATTCCACCCCAAAATAACACAAGCTCCCTCCATTTCCCCCCCTCGCCCAAAAAAGAAACAGAAACTTGAGTTTTAAAACAGAGTTATTTTCCTCGACTTTGTATTCTGGGTTTGTTTAAAGGCTACTTGCTGGCAAAGGGTTAATCAGCTGTCATGTTGAGAAATGAATTTGGATGAGCTATCATTAAATTCTTATAAAAAATTGATTTCCTTGGAGAATGTTTCCATCAAACATTTATGTAACCCAGAAAAGGCCAGTGAGACTGACACACTTATAAATATGATATGCTGGACGCTTTAAAATGTTAGTGACAGAGAGGACTGAAAATGTTCTCAGCCACCAGCTTCTATAAAGGAAAGCTGAAAGAAGTTGCTGTCTTAATCTAATCTTCCTGGTTTCTCCTGGAGGTGGGCTATGAAATATTAAATCTTATTTTACTCTCCTATCTCATGAATGAATCCTTTTGACATAAGCTCAGCCCTCCTCTCAGATGCACATGTACCTTGGTGTAATTTGAAAAATGGGCACCAGCACTGGAGATGAACTTGTCAGTGTGTCTGGGCTCTGTGGTAGATTGACCCACATTTTAAGCAAAATGAGCATTAGTCTCTGTAAACAGTCTGAGCAGATCCTCCTCATTGGACTGTTGGTCCAACTGAATCTGACTTCTCTCAAATTTTGCTGCATGGGACATGGAATTTTAATGTGCCTGTGGAGCAGCAATAGCTTGAATGGCTCTTTACCAGAGAATGTCCCCGCACGTGCAAATTCTCCATCAAGCAGCTTTTGTTTTTGTTCTTGGGGGTTTTGTTCTTCCTGATTGAATTTAATGTCCTTTAATTCTCTGTCTCCAGTTAAACCAGCGATTGCTGTTTCTTTACAAGAGCGCCACACCTGCTAAAGTCCATTGGCACAATACCCGGGCATGTAGTAGCATTCTGTGGCAGAAGTCTTGTAAAAAGCAGGGGAGGGGCAGGGTCTGGGTGTCTTTTTCTCTTTTTGAAGGCATTTACTTACAATAGGACAGTGATGAGACCCAAATGATGGGGGAGGAGGAGGAGATGCTGTGATTTTTGCTTACAGAGCAGCATAGCAATCAAGCAGATGGGCTCTTTCTTCTTGGATATTCTCCTCGCATATTTAATCTCACTTGCAGTTCCTGGAAGATGGACATTTCTCTAGCTCTATTTATTAGATATCTGTAAAATTCAGGCTTTCTGATCAAGTAATGAAAAGAGCTTCTCTTCCTTATGAAATATTAAGAGTTGGCTGTGGAAGCTGGGTGCAGATGAGCCTGCCTGATTGGCTTTCAGTGATGTCATGCTAATGTTAGTAATATCCAGTAAAAGCTTGACTGTGATCTTTTTACCTGAAGGTTTTTGTTCACTTTGTCTCACCCTAGCAATGAAACCATCCCAGGCATCCATTTTGAGGGGCACTGTTGCCCTTCTAGCATGGCAGAAGTCATTTGGCCTTTGTCTCATAGTTACCCAGGGTAAGCTATGACGGCCAGAAATGCGACGAATTGATCCTCTGAGCCAGGTGGCATTTAGATGTGTTAATACCCTCTCATTTGCCCAGGTATTGATTTGAGCAGCTAAATGCAAAATTTGGACATCCTCTGTCTATGAAAACTGGGCTTCCTGGTATTTTTAGGAATGCCTCTGTGGAAAGCATATTAAGATGAGCCCCTGAAAGTAGTATTTGTAATGTGTGTCCTGATCAGTTGTCTGGATGCTCAACTGACACCAGCTTATCGCTCCTCCAAGATCAATGTGAAAAATAGTGCTCAGTAGGTTTAGAATACTTGCATAGAGTGCCCTTTGTCCAAGGATTTCCGAGTGCTTCCAGTAGCAGCCAATTGCCCCTGTGAGCTAGGTAAGGGATATATAGGAATCCACTATTGAAATCCTCCATTTCTGGGGTGAAATGTGGCAGGCTTTTAACAGCACACTCCAGCACAATTTAGGACAGTCAACGAGGACTAATGTATCCAGTTGAAACTGTAGGGGGATGTTAAGGAGGCAGTTTGTAATACCAGAGTTGGAATTTGACTGTCTTGTGTTTAACAGCCCTCTTCTTACACAATGGATCATGAGATCTCTGAGAACAAGTGGTCAAGACCTCTGCTTTGGGGTGAGATGACAGTGTCCATCATAAGAGTATCACTTAGTACCCATGATTTGCTTTCTGCTACGCTTGTCCTTACCCAGGGACCATTCAGTTTTAGCCTTTTTATTCACATAGCCTGGTGTCTGTTTTCCAGCAGTGCTGTGATCTGGGATACCATGCCAGCCTCAACAGAGCTCTCAGGACGTTCCTGTCTGCAGAGCTGAACCTGGAACAGTCCAAGCACGAGGGCCTGGATGCCATTGAGAATGCAGTGGAGAACTTGGATGCCAACAGTGACAAGCAGCGCCTCATGGAGATGTACAACAATGTCTTCTGCCCGCCCATGAAGTTTGAGTTTCAGCCCCACATGGGTGACATGGTCAGTTTATGTCCCTCTGCTCCAGCTCTGTAAACATACACAGAAATCTCCATCCCATTGAATTACATTGAAAGGATTAGATCTGTAGTAAAACAAAATTTCCCTGCTGTTAGAGCTCAGGGGCGTGTACTCTGGGTCACTGGGCTGGAGTTAAAGTGTGGAAGAATGGCCTTGAGACTGTATTGTTACAGGACAGTGTTGCCTAGGTAGGTAAGTGACATGGACTGCAACCTCTCTGTGGAGTCTTGTATATAGGTGGGATGGAAAACTGCTACTCAGGATGAGATGGGGACAATGCAACTTCCATAAGCAGCTTCTTCAGCTATCCATACACTGCGCTTACGGCAGCCTCCTCAAAAAGGCCACCTGTTTGATTCCCACTTGGGAGTTGAGGGGGAGGCCTTGGAAAAGGGACACAGTAGGAAAATATAAGCCGTGGCATGGATTTCTGTAGACTGCAATTGACTCATTTTGAGTAAGAAACCAACTGAAGAGGAAAGCAGCCAAATAGCTGTGATCCTAAAGATGGAGAAACACCATTGTTCCCTTCCCATCCATGCATCTTCTACCAGACAAGGACTCTCAAATTAGAAGACTGAAGTAACATCTGAAAGATTTAATCATCCCATACAGAGCCCAGCTCTGCTTCTGCAGCCACATTGCCCTCAGCTGCTTGCACAGACACACCACTGGTGCTTTCCAGTTACATAGGTTTGTGGAGGGTGCAACAAGAGAGGGCAGAGAGATCAACTTGAAATATCAACTTGATCACTTTCTCTCCCCTCTGACACCCCATTCCTAAGAATGAATTGCAGAGCTCTTGCTTGCTAATACTCCATTGGAAGAATATTGTACCCTTATATAGAGCCCCTTTTTATTAGAGGAGCTAATTGGAAGAAAATCTACGCTGCCGAAAAGCCAGTATTCAGAGTCATTAACCTTTGCTACCTAAACTGATTCCTAGAGCCCTGCCACTGTCTGAAGAAAAATAGAAAGACAAGCAATTTAATATGCAGTTTTATGACGCATTTGATTGTGTAGTCCTGGAGCACAAATGGTTTGTGGTGCTTCACACATTTTATGGTGACACAAGGCAGTCGAAGGATTTTCATTTTTGGCAATGAAAATGTATTGCTCGGCAGCTTTATCGGTTGTGCCTGCATATCTGGGAGCCATGTTTGGGAGCCAACTGAAGCCAGCTCACAAATCTAAATGGCATTTGCATGCAGTGTAACAACTTAGGTCAGTTGGCTGGATGTCTGGATAGTTCTAGCGAACATGAGGAAAGGCTAGAGAGATGCTTCCTGATGGCCAGTGTGCTCTTTCGTTCCTAGACATATAGACACAGCGTAAGGCTGTCTGTCTTTCTTCTTAAGTGGTGGAATGGAGGGCAGGGAACATGTGAAAACCCTGAGTTGGAAAGTGGCCTTTTTATTCTATACTCATGCACAGATTAGTGTCCCTAAGATAGTAAAAAGGACTGCTCCCACCCAGCCAACTCGGCTTCTAGTCCCACATATTCATCCCCCCAACATATCCTTAGTCATGAGACTTGCTGATGTCCTGCTGACTTGATGTGTTATGTCTGTAGGAAGGTTTGTATAGCTCTCCTAGGATTATTGGGGTGGTTCTTGTATGTATGAAATTTACTTTGTGTGGGAGGGGGAGGAGCTTGGTTGGCAACTTGAGCCTTAACAGATTGTAGCTTTCTGCCATGATATCAGCAGTTTATTCTTACCAAAGCGCATGGCTGCTGTGTGCTGTGAAACGTGAGCATTCTCACCAGTACTGAGAGAGCCCAGTGTTTAGTATGTAAAAAGGTGCTTGCCCGGCAGTCACATAGCAAACAGGTGTAATCCTTCCTGTAGCCATGGGGAATAATAGATACCCCAAGTGGACAAGCCAAAAGCCTGCTTTTTCCCTTCACAAAGTACTTGACTTGTTAGACCAAATTCTTCCCTGCCATAAGCCGACATAGATCCCATTGAAGTCTCTGGGTTCTGTTCAGCCTGTGGTCTCTAGTGCAAGTCAGATGTTTCAGGATTAGCTCATTGAAAGTGACTCTTGTTTCTCTTACTCAATTCTTCCTTGTCTTTTTTCTTTTTCTCTCTCCTATTTTGTTTGACTTTAGGGGCAGGGGATTGTAATTCAGTAAAACATGGGGCTTAGCTTTGATTTGTTTTGGCTTAAATTCAGAGACTTCTCAAGCACTAAAACGATCACGATCGTTGGACTGTTTAATACCGTAACACAATAATTATGATTTTCTTGGGTATTGAATGTACTGTGGCTCTCTCAAGGGGGCTTCTTTTTTGCAGGTGTCACAACTGTGTGCCCAGCAGCCTGTCCAGAGTGAGTTGGTGCAGAGATGCCAGCAGCTGCAGTCTAGATTATCTACGCTCAAGATTGAAAACGAAGAGGTGAGCTAACAAACCAACCAAAAAACCGCTTGCAGCATTTGCAATATTAGAATCTTCACACAGCCCAGGGACAAGGGATACCTCATCTCAATAAGCCTGCTTGCGCTGACCTGTGTAGGAAGATGTGGAAGGAGGGCAGCAGAGGGCTTCCATGTTTTAGTCTGTATCCCTGACTTTCCTTCCCAGCAGCTTTGCATGGGGCAGAAATTTCGAAAACAAATCCAGTGTTATCCTTTTTCTCAATCTGAATTGCTAGGCGTGGCCACGTCTCAGGAAACCACACCTGAATAGCAAAGGATCAATGATCTATCTTGTTTTAAAAAAAATAAACCTCAGGCAAGTCCTAATTTTTGTTTCACTTGAATGTTTAGCTCTCATGTAAACAATAGACTCTGATTTAATACAGTTCTTTCTTCTCATGGTTTATAAAACAAATCTATACTACAAATTTATCCCTTACAGCTACTGTTCAACATGTTTCTTTGTATTCAGCCTAATTTTACTAATATTTGCTGGCAGGTACTGGAATATTTCTCCCATGTGAAACAAGATGCTAGTCTATATTGGAGAATGTCTTAGCTCTTTTCTACAAATATAGAAGCATTTGCTGCTGCTGTGTTGTTGTTTTTTTAAAGTCTGTCCCTTGTTTACTTGTCTGGCCACAGAAGTCTTTACAAATGTGTTAAAAACTGTGCATAGATTAAAAACAGACAAATAAGTTTGCACATCTGTACCTATGCATTAGTGGGTTTTTTAATTTGTATTTTAAGTTTGCAATCTAAACAATAAGATACTAGAGAATAAAGTGTTTACATGGCAGTTATTAGATTTGTGTGTGTAATATTGATACTATACTCTTAATCCGGAAAAAAAAGATGGTACTCGAAATATCTATTTTCAGTTACTTAAAAAAAACTAGAAACTATAATCAGATATTACTTTCTGACATTCAAGTCCATCTCCTGTTCCATTTGGGCATAGATGGCGCGGGGCGGACAGGAATTAAGTAATGGTACTAAGCTGATTTCATTGTGGAAGAACACACACATCAGGTTTCAGTGCTTGTGATCAATAAGTCACATACCTCGCTATCAGATTCTCTAAATGAAGTATATCTTTTCTCCTTCCATTGTCTGCTATTTCAGACAGTGACACTTAAATGCCAGCAGATGGGAAATGGTTAGGTATGAAAAAACTGGAGGCAGAGTGAGACTCCTTCAGTCCTTACTGTGGGGTGTTTGTGGTGAATTGGTTAAATTTGTTGTGCCTGTGTAGAAGGGCAGGTTTTGGTACCTGTTGTAAATAGCAATTCAGCTCTTGCCAAGTTGTGTGGCTACACATTTGGCACCTACTCCTTCACTGCCTGATGTCTGTTCGTTCACTGTGCACAGATGTAGATGACCGTGCAAGGCAGGAGAGAATCGAACAGTGTTTTTTTTTTTTTTAAAGATAAAGTGAATCTCTTTTTGAAAAGGAGATGGGGAAATCAGCCTTTGGATCATATATCAGCACAGTGAGGCGCTCCCCCTCTTTCTTTCCCTCCCTTCCTAGCCCTAAGCATTCATCCCATCAAGGTCTAGTACCCTTCTCAGTCTCTTTGCCCTGAAAGGATTAAATGGATGGCATTGCATGGGGAGCCCCTCAGAATATCCAATGCACACCTCCAACCCCCCTGCAATTTATCATCCTGTTTGTGCAGTCCCTTTATAGGCCCCAAGCAAGGAAGACACCTTCAGTAAAAGACTTGGCAAATTACAAGGAAGTCTTATTTTAATGCAGTGTGTTTTTTTGTTTTGAAGCCCAATAGATTTAGTGACCGGAATAAAATGATTCTGAGCCTTCCACCATTCCCCCCAACACTTCTCTTTGCTATATGGGCAGATTCCCCTATTTCCCCCGCACCAGGGCACTGGAATAAAACTTTCCTTACCGCAGGGTTTGTACAGCATACAGCAATGCAGATTTATTTTGCTGCTAGCCGGTTGTTTACGTGGACTGTGCTCTGTTAATTAGCAGAGCTTGTACTGTGGTTACGGCCCATAGGACTCAAAGGCAGTCATATCCGTTTATTAATAAAATGTTCTGGGACACTGATCCCCTGTTTTTCACCTGCTGATTCTCATTATTTATTTATTTTTTATTTTAACTCCTCTTTGTCCTTGCTGAGGCAGGTTAAGAAAACTATGGAAGCCACACTGCAGACTATCCAAGACATAGTCACAATTGAGGACTTTGATGTCTCTGACTGCTTCCAGTACAGCAACTCCATGGAATCCGTCAAATCCACAGTCTCTGAAACTTTCATGAGCAAGCCAAGCATTGCCAAGAGACGGGCCAATCAGCAGGAGACGGAGCAGTTCTACTTCACGGTAAGGGATTTGACTTGCAAGGTGTTCACAATGACAAGAAGCTCTCAGGAACATTTGAGATGCTGCATTCTTTGCCCCCTTATAGACATCCATGACTGTATTCTTGTTCTCTTGAGTTTTCCTATTTAATCTCCAGGGACAATTTTAATTTTTATAGGAAGCCATTTGAATCCACTTCTTAATGTTGGATAGCTCTTCCTGAAACTAGGAGAAACTTCCTGAAACTGCTTATTACCAGGTTTACACTTCACAGAGGAAATTAAAATGGAACAGAGAGAGCCCTGGGTTAGTCTTAGTTTGAAAGAATTTAAAGGGACAGTATTTTAATAATTTTTAAATTTTGATAACACATGCTTAATGAGTTTAGCTATACTTGTGCCTTCCCCCAGTAGGTAAATACTGACAACTTTGATTTGCTTTGTTGCTAATACAGAAAATGCCACTGTGGCTTAGTTGTTACTCTTTTCTTAACCCCAGCATCATACTATAGGCTCCGGTCCAGTAGCATGTGGACAGAGAGCACCCAATGGAGGCCCATGAGGTCATGGCAACTCTGCATAGGTGCGGCAGGTGGCCTGCATGCTGCAGTTGCAGGATCAGGGAATTAGATCCATAATCAGGAACTTGCACTGTTCCTGACAAAATGATCTACTGTAGATCCACGAGAAGGGAAAATTAGAGTGTTCCTTGTTTGTTCTTGCTGCAGCCAGAGCTGGGTTTGTTTTTTTTTAAAAAACAAATAATGAAATTTTGTTTTTAGATTTTTGTTTGTTTGTTTTTGTTTAAAAAAGACATACAAGTACTTTGTCTACTGAATAGAATTTAGTGTTTGGATTGTAATATGGCCAGGTGGTAAAATCTGGTCTCTCTCATCTGCCTACAGTGGAGCTGAAAGGACAGAGCTTAAAATTGTGAAGGGAAAATTCCAAGTTTCTTCTAGATTTACTACCTTTCAGACCAGCATGTATTTTTTCCCCCTGAGTTGTGATCACTTATGTTGAGCTGCTGCATCATTTAATATTTTCAAAATATATTCTTCCAAAAAGCAGATGAAAACCAAACCTGTAAAGTTCATTACTCTGACCCCTTTTGAGAGCCTACTGCTATATTTAAAGCTTTCCTATTCCTCTTATGAGAATGGTGTTGCTTATTAAAATTGTGAAGCTCTGTGCAAATTACATTGGCTGACAGGATGGTTTTTGTCAGGTCTAGTCTAATAGTAAACTCTCCGATAAACCTATCATCCCTTAGAAAAGCACTCCAAATGCTTAAAAATAATGCATTTAAATGTAAAAGTATTCTTCTAAGGTGAAACTCGGTTAGCAAAAAGTGGGCAGGTGAATTGATACAATTAAGAAGCAATTGACTAGCCTGCTTGTGATTATGGAACTAGAAAAACGATATCTTAAATTGAATTTCAGGTATTCCCTCTAGAGAGAGCAGATGCTCTATGTGCAAATATGCACGTGCACATAGGGTTAGTTTACTGTGATTTTTATCTATGCACGGTACTTTTCCATTTCGCAGTGTTAATATCCTGCTCCCATGCAGCCAGACCAGTGTAGTCCCAGAAGGATTGTAGGGCTGTCTCCAAGAAATGAAGGTGCTATTTATCATGTCATATGCAACCATGATAAAATAACTGGGAACTGAATGAGGCTGATGTATGAAGGACCCTGTAAACAGTCAAATCAGATACTTTATTGATTTTTTTTTATTATTGGACAGACTTATAAATATCCTTAAGAATTCCAGACTTTGAATCTGTAAAGATCGGTTGTTTCCTCATACATAGAAATGAGCTGAAGAGCATTAATGAGAACTAGGATAAAGCCATGGTAAAGGCAGTATTGTTAGGAGAGAGAGAGAACCAAAATACACAGACCTTTTAAGGTACAGAACAGACCCCTGTAAAGGAAAGACACCTATCTCCTCTCATTTCATATACTTCTGTATTGCAGATCAAATGTGATGCATATACACATACACACACGCACCATGTGTGTGCGCGCACGTATATATACGCACATGCACAATGCTCACTGGAAGATAACAAGAAGCAACTTTAAGTATCAACATAATCCTTGGTTCCAAATCAGTATTTACATACCATGCTGTTTGCTTTTGAACTTTTCAGCATTCATATACTGTGGTGGTAAGTACAATATGTAAGAGGGATTGCGTTCAGAAAACAAGTTTAAATTTAATAGTCTGCAAAGGATAGGAAGGAAGGAGAATGACTCCGTTTTCCCATCTGTAAAATGGGGATTAATTTTGGCTTTATAGTTAATTATAATAGTTTTAAAAATAATATTAAGCAACACTACAATGCTTGCTCTCTTCAAAGTGCTTTACAAAAATGAATTTAATAAAATTTGACAAAACTCATGACATGAGTAAGTATTTCTAATTTCATCGATAATTAATTTTACAGAAATGTCATGCTGCTTCTGTCAGTGTACCACTCTTTCTCTTTTAATCACTACCATTAGCACAGTGGTGTGATGATCTGATTTACTCATTGCATTCTGGGAACATTGCTAATTGTGCTGATTGCATCCACGTTGATGTTGTTTTTAAAAAATAAAAAAAAATAAGCTGCTCTGCCCAGATTTGAGATGGAGCCAAGGATATGGGACATGTGACAGAAACTATTTCCATATAGTCTCGAAAGCATAACTGTCTGCCTTGGCAGCAAAGCAGGAAGATGTACTCTAGTTTACACTTTGCTCTATTATGCATTCCACCTGACAGCTGCTTCCTGCTGGAAAAATTTGAACAGGCTCGGGGTGGGGGAGGGTATTAAAGGTGCGTGGATGTGAGGAAGACAGCCATTGCAATGCGTACACTGTTACTAGTTAACAGAGCCTCCTTTCTGAGGTCTTTGCAATATGGAAATTGTATTGTCACTGCCGTCTTTCTTTGTCCTCTTGCGTCTGATTGTACTTAGATTAAATCCAGGCCAGAAATTAAATCGTGTGGAGTTCACGCATACTTTTGTGTTTGTTTTTTGCTGTTTGAAACCGAATGCTGCTGGATCTTCATAATTCGTCAAGAAAAAACTGCAGGTTTGATTTTAAATGGACGTCCTTTTTATTTTGTGTGTGCTCCTGGGAGGTGGCAGGCTCTGGAAGGTGGATTTAGTGTACTATGAAGAGGATATGAAATATCAGTAGTCAGTAGGAACCATTGTTTTCTTTGTAGCAGCAATAGGAGAACTCTGCATTGGGCACAGTGTTCCTAATGTAACTCATAGAGACACCTCACAGCCTCAGAGACCAGAATAAATGTCAGAGAAATGCATAATGTATTTCTCTGGAACCCTGAGTGTTTGATAAGCTCTATATACAGGAATCTTTTCTCGCCTCTGAAGTGCGGCCACCTCTGAAATAAAACAAGGCAGTTCAGCGTGGCACCATGCGAATTTAGGGTAGTATGTGACATTCATCACTTGCTATCCTAAATAGTGATGAGAGTGAGTGTGTGTGTGTGTGTGTGTGTGTGTGTGTGTGTGTGTGTGTCATATTGCAAGGGGGAATTTTCAGGCTCAAATTCTGCTTTAGCCATGAGGCTGGAGCTAAACCCCCCCTCCTTTACTCATAAGTTATTTTAATGACCTCAATTGGCCAGGAGAAATGTTTTGTTTCCTTCATGAGATGGCACCTCCAGTGTCGCATATGGAGCACCCTGGGTTTTACAGAAATATCCGTCAAGTGCAGGCCACCTTCAGCTCTGCTTTGATTGCATGCCTTAGATAGTATGGCTGTTTTTAAAGCTGTTCTTTCAGATTGTGGCCTGTCTGCCTTCTCCACAGCATGGGGCACGGGTCACTTGAGGTTTAAACTAGTGTAAACGGTGGATTCTTTGTAACCTGAAGTCTTTAAATCATCATTTGAGGACTTCAGTAGCTCAGCCAGAGGTTATGGGTCTATTACAAGAGTGGGTGTGGCCAGCAATGAGAACTAGGACAAAGCCATGGTGGATACAGTACTGTTAGAGGAGAGGGAGAACCAAAATATATAGATGTTTTAAGGTACAGAACAGACCCATGTAAAGGAAGGACACCTTTCTCCTCTCATTTCATACACTTCTATACTGCAGATATATGTGGCATATATACATAGATCATGATGGTCCCTTCTGGCCTTAAAGTCTGAGTATCTATGTGCAGCTCCTCAGGAGCAAGGATTCATGGTCAAATGGGATCCAGGAGGGCAATCTCGTACCTCATCAAATGGTTATTTGTTTTAATGGGATCTTGACTGACAGCAGGAAGTAAACCATTGACCTATGACCAGTCCTGCAACAAAAGGTTTCTCTAATCACTGCACAACCTAGCCAAGGAATGCTTTGGCATCTTGTTCGTCCACATCTCAGTGACTGACTTTACAGACAGACTGAATCTTCATTTTGATCTTCAATTTCTCATTATTTTAAGTCTTTCCTCCCCCCCAAGATCTGCTGATGTCTCATGGGAGATGTTTCTTAAAATCCATTCGTCACAGAGGGCTTTAGATTGTTGATGTTCAGGAGTTTCTCATTCCCTTTGACCACAGTGTTCTGTGTGGTGTGTTTGTTTGGTAACTGGAGATACTCTCATGCAAACAGTGTTTGTCTATTAGAAAGTCATGAACTTGTACTGCTAATTTAATGATATAATGTGTTGGGTAATATCATAATTAGCTGGTATGAAGAATGCTGATACCAGACGGTTAAGAGCCTGGCATTAAGTAAGGAATAAGCAGAAGACCAGATAGAATTTCAGAGAGAAACAGATCCTATTTTCATGCAAATAACTGTCCGTGTGGCCTATCCATATCAGTATTTAATATCCTTAGCTGAATAATAAATAGGATAAAGAGGCGAAAATTGCGTGTTAAAGCAGAATTGTGTCTAACGAGGATATTTATCAATTTTGTCATTAGGAGTCAGTGATCTTTTAATACTATCCGTACCTCCCTACAAATGGCATCCTTTTACATTCTTCGTCAATATGCAAAGAGATGCAGCCAAGAAATACAATAATGCAATTCCATCAAGGTGGTTCATAAACCATGAGACAGTAGCTGAAGCATTTTGTCACAAGAACAAAGATGAAACTTCATAATACACTTTAGTTTTATATTATGGAATTAAAAGGTGTGTTTGATTTGTTGGCTTTTCTTTTGTGTTCCATATGCCAAAAAATGTGTACACATTTCCAATGTTCTGCCTAACTAGAAGGAATAGAACTGTCACATCAGCTGTGGGGGAACCGGATGGCTCAGTGGATTGGTAGTGGGAGAGAACATATCACAGCCATGTCACTGATTCTGCTCTCATCCAGAATGGTGGTAGTTTAAAATCTGTAGCTCTTGGGTGCTTTCATTTCAGCTCCTAGTGGACATGCAAACCACCCCACACAACGGATTAGCGCTCTTGTTGGTTCTCTCAGCCTAGAGGCCAAAAAGCGAAGAGGTCATGGAGACTGAATGGTCCTTACACCTAGAGGTGTGGTCCCTCCCTGAGGGGAATGGTATCTTCACAGGCCAGTGTGAGCAAACACTGGCTTGCCGTTGTCCTTTGTGTACTTGGTCCATGGAAAAATAGGAGTTCAGTATGTAGGGTTGCCAATCCGGTATCTCTTCACAGAACAAAACATAGTTTTTTTAAGCTGTGGGGTAAGGGGTGGGGGAAGCAAACTAGTAATCCTGGTGGGAAATTTTGAATTCACTTTATTTTTTCAAATATACAGCTTAGTTCCTTGCTGTAAGTTGAAATGTAAAAAGCCTCTGACCCAACTCCCTCCTCCCCGCCTCACCACAACAATAATTACAAATATAAAAATAAAACCAATAAACTATACATTGGACAAAGGAAAACACCTGCATTTGGTTTTTGGCCTGAATAACAATGAAAATCCAGTTTCTACTGGGTGTTCATTATAATTGTCAGAAGGTGCCAGGAGATAGTGAATACAGAAGTAAAGCAAGAATGACAGTCTTACTCTGTCTATACTTCAGAAAGAAGCGTAGGTCTCTGGGGAAGCAAGTTTATTTGTGGATCTTTAAACTTTGGATTTACCCATTGGCCACATCTTGCAATGTTTTGCCCCTATTCAGCTCTCCTTGACTTCCCTCAGAGTTGAGGGAGCTCAACACCTTTCAGAATCAGACTTATCTCCCATCCCAACTCCCTGGAGCATGAAATGCAATATCATTTGGCCGTTTTGCATGAGGTACGCAGGGACGAAGTCCCAACCTGGTTGTCTGTCAAAACTTGAGTGAAATTGTCTAGATATGAATAGATGGATGCGACTCTTTCAGGTTTAAAAAAAAAAATTAGAATGCAAGAAGCAGCCTATGCTTGGAATAGATTTGGACAGATTCTGGGAGGAAATCTCCAGTCAGCACTAAACTTTGGTACAAGGTTCTTTTGAAGGTTCTGAAATGTTTGGTTAACTTTAATTTTTAATTTATTTTGCCACTCACTTCGATGCTTCCTGCTTTTATCCAGGACCAAAGCTGTTGATGTACCAGCCCGCAACAAAGCCGTAAATGCTGCAAGTCTCCCAAGAGACTTAGTTTTGATGAAATTCCTACTCCAGTTCAGAGTCAGGAGCAGCATCCTGATTTTTGGCCACTAATTAAAACCCAAATGCCAATCTTCTTTGTGACTGACTTGTCTCTAGAAACTAACAGTCAGCGGACCCACAACTTGGGGCTTCTGGGCTCCTAAATAGTTTTACTTTCCCTTGATATGGTCTATGTATCCTGTTCCATGATTCTTCTCACCCTTTAAATATATTTATAGCGTGCCCATTGTTATGACCCACACAAGACTAACAGAGGAAAATAGCACTTTAAATTAAGACACCCTGTGTATTTCAAGGAGCTTAGGTCTAAATTTGACACTACAAAGCTAGAGTGAAAGACAGTGGATAGAAATGAGGTAAGATGAGGACAAGAGTTGGAATAATTTATCATAGGATATTGTCTTCACTTGAACTCCCTTTCTATTGGTTATTTTTGAAATGTTGTAGTGTATTATACGATAAAGTTGTGTTCATCACTAATATTTGAGCAAAAGATTATAAATGCTTAACCTGTTCCAACTGTAAACTTGACACTGATCTTCTATACAGCACTCTGTACACTTGCAGCATGTTAGCAATGAAGAAAAATGTATTGTCCTCCAGAATAAGGGATGAAACAGTTTATAAATCTCTTCTGAAGAGCTGGGAAAACCTATCCACCTCAAGAGAAACAAATAGAGAATGGTCTGTGATATTTTAGCTTGAGATGAGCAGAGCAAATGTCATCTTTGTTGGGTTTTTTCCTTTCCTTATTGTGTATCCAGAATAGAGGCAGATGCAGTATCTGACGAGTAAAGTGGGGTGAGAGAGGTTAAGTGAGAGAATAAGCACAGTAGCAGCCTTTTAGTTTGTTAAAACAGATTGGTCATTCAGTTGTCGGTGACGTGATGAAAGTGCATTTCTGTCCCTCTCTCTGTCTGGAGAGCAGGGTGTAAGACGGCCACTTAGATGTCTCAGACATGCCAAGCATTCAGTTGAGAGTCAGTCCATATCTAGACTGGGGCAAGAGAAATGAGATGGCAGATTGCTGGGGTATGGGCTGAGACTCTGATGTACGTCTGTAGATTTATTTCATCCTTCTCGCTGTAGGGTTCACAACTGTATGCAGAGTCCAGCAGACCAAAGGTTGTCATCTGAGAAATAAACACCCCATTGATGGTCTTGCTTTTCTCTTTCACCCCAACAGAAAATGAAGGAGTACCTGGAAGGCAGGAACCTGATCACTAAGCTCCAGGCCAAGCATGACCTTCTTCAGAAGACACTGGGAGAAAGTGAGTATGGGACCTGCTTGTCACTGCATTAGACAGTCAGCTATAGTTATTAAATTAGTCAGCTGACTGAGCGTAACTGTCCTAGATTACCAGTGCTAAGCGGACATATTCATGTTTTATGAATTTATTTTTTCCGGCTTACTTGGTGCAGCACTATATGGGTGCTTGAGTAATTGTGAAAGGCAAATGCAAATGCTTAATGAGGTACTAATGTGCCTCATCTATTTGTTTAAATGAAGAATGTGCCCACTCAGGACCCCCCCTCTGTTCATAATCTGAACAGAGGTAAACCTTGTGATTTACTGTTTACTGCTGATCTTAGAAGCATTGCCTCATTAGGGTGGTAGAAAGATTTGTTTGCATGGTAGATGAGCTGCTTTTCACCTCTGTAGGTTCAATCCAAACCAGGCTAATGCAGAACATGACCTTTATTCGTGGAAATAGAAATTTCAGAGCAGACAGAATGTGTTGCCCCCGCATCTACTTGGCACGAAGCAGCAGTCAAGATTGAATGTTCCCACCACTGCTGGCCAAACACACACCTCAAGCAATGCATCCATGTCTGCATGCAAACCTCCCCCGCCAGCATTTGCGGAGAGGATGGATTGGCAGTCTCAATATCTAGTCTGACTCCTAGAACCTTACATTTACATGATAGCAGGGCCTGCTCCTCTTTGTTAGGTATCTGAATTGAAGGCCACAAAGTTTATAGTGCGCAAGTTGTCTTCTGGATGAGAATTTAAACAGTGTGCAGGTTGTAAAGTGTTTGCTTTCAGGATAAAAATGTTCTTTCTCCCCCTCTTCCCCGCCCCCAACAAAAAAAAAGCTTCATGTTAATCAGACCAAACCTGTAGGAAGTGAGGAAAGGATATTAAGATTCCCTTGTCTCTACAACTGTCCTAGGAAGGGGAATCAGAAACGCTGTTTCCTTAAAGCATTTTTCCTCGGTCTCTAAGCATCTCCAAATGACACCCAACCTGCCCCTGTGACTAATCACATTCCTGGTTCATAGCTGACCCCTGCATACCATGACCTCTTTCCTCTTAACCTGCCTGCCCCTTGAACTGATCTCAAGCTGAGGGGCAGAAGGCAGGAGCAAGAGGAATGTTTAATGTGTTGGTTGTATCTCTCTAGATTTAGAGGCCCCTGCTGTTTGTGGTTGCTTTGCAATGCTTAAACTTCTTTGGAGCTGAGCTTGTGAAGGGATCTGGTGCATGTCAGAGTGAGCAAGAGCCACTTAAAAAAAAAAAACAAAAAAAAACCACCGCACACACATAAAAAACCTGCTGTTATATGTGAGATCAAAGGAAACTGAGGTGCATTATGCCTCCAATCCAAACCAAGGAAATCAATGGGATAAACAGAGTTGGGTGCTCAGCATCTAGCCCCATTTATAAAATGTCACTTAACTGGGAGTGGGTATACTAAAACCTTTCACGCATTGCGTCAGTCTCTCTCTAGGAAGTTTTGCCCACTGAAATGCAATGCGCAGCTGCATCTCTCCAGACACTGGGGAGTACATGTTTCTATTTTTTTGTTTTTTGTTTTTTTCCTTTAGGTTACATTTTATCACTCCTCTTGCAAATTACCTTAATCTAAAGATGACAAGTTCTGGTAATAAAAATACCAGCAGGTCTTCCTTTCGACAAGTAATTATGTCTCTGACTGTCTACATTTGTCACTGTAATGTAAGAGCCCCTTGATGTTGCCACAGCCGTGTAATTTATATGTATGATGGTAGGGACAGATGGTTAGGAACTCTGGTTCTGAATAACATTTTTATAAATTATGCACCATTTTGGTTAAATGAGCTTTTACGCAAGGAGGGGAAAGTGGCTGCTCACAAAGTGTTCTATTGATTCTCAGCAATCAACAATTAGCCCTTTTCATTCACTCTCTTCTACCCAGGTTCAGGGAGGCATTAAACTCTGGAGGGGAAAGGAGAGCCAAATCATTAGCTGGTGTAAATCAGCATAGCTGTGATGTTGATTTATGCCACCTGAGGATCTGGCCTGGAATGTTGGGTTATCAAAGGTACTTGCCAAATATTGTCTCCTTTTTTCCTTACTGTGCTATTTTAAAATGCTGCCTGTCTCATCAGTAGCCATGGTAGCTTGGTCCCCAAATTGCGAACAGAATGAAAGTTAATGGAACAATTTTGCAAATATGATTGCGGAAAATATCATTAAAGCTCTGCCTCCTGAAATAGCTAAATGCTAGCACGTCAAGCCTGTGGGCTAACAAATCAGAGAATGTTTTCAATCTTCCTAAGTGGTTTCATAAAGTATAATCTCTCTCCTCCTCCCCCCCCCCCCCCCCACAACCTCCCTCCCAGCTCCCTTGGGAAGGAGGAGGAGGGAGAGGTTGAGAAGGCTAGTTTTTTGGCAGTGAAAGTCAACAATTAGAGTGCACGGGAACCAATTTTCAGATACAATGCTTTCCAGAGAGAGAGAGTCCTCAGGCAGCCGAAGCTGGTTTCTGCATTTCCTGGTCAGCCACAGAGGAGCCTTGCCAACGGGGATGGGCTCACATGATCTTAATAGCAGCAGTTCTTGGGGGAAGCAGCCACATTGTCACTCCTTAAAGCTGTTGTTCTCCCTTCCCCACGCTCTCCTCTCCCCCGCTTCCAAATTAAGGTCTGCATGTCCGTCAAAAGCCTTTTCCCATTTCTGTTCTCTGGTGCAAGCCTTTATATTTCTTTCTTTGTCTCCCTAACAGGTCAAAGGACTGATTGCTCCCTTGCCAGGTAGGTGTGGCTCAAATAAACATTGTTTAAAAAAGAGCCTCTTCCAAAAAGACAGCTGACAAAAGGAGTCAGTCACCAACTCAGGACCTGTGTAGATTAGGAAGAAAAGGTGGGGTTTGCGAATTTCCTGTTAAGCAACACATCTTTAAGCACCATTGCCTTTGTCTGATCTAGATGCTAAATGATGTCCAAGTTCACGAACACCATATTGCTAAACACACCTCGTTTTTCTAACCTAGATGGGGTCCTGGACTCTTCAGGATTTATCCACATGGGGGCGGGGGGAGGGACAAGAAGCCAAGCAGCATCTTGAAGTGCTTGTGATTGCTTAATAGGAGGGTGGGGGGGAAGAGAATGGTCATAGAGGCGTTTTCTTCTCCTTGCCCTGCTGACCTCATCTGGCCTGACATGGAATTGGATTGCAGCACAGAGAGGCCATGAAGAATAAATATTTTGCTGTAACTGAGGCCAAGTATCAATCACGGTGCCGTAGAAGTCACCAAATATGTGAAACTCAGCCTCTCATCATGAGGGGTGGGGGGCTTTCTGGGAAATGTAACAGTTCTGTGTCTCTGAATTTGTTTTTGGGGGCTGTGTTGGCCACAGGGATTGTGCAGCGCGCTGGCTGCTTAAAGTGAGGGTGATTACTGCAGATCTGAAATCATTACTCCATTTCCCCCATTCCTCACAGTAAAGCAGAGCTGACAGGTCCTAATTAGGGTCTGACATCTGTAATAATAAAATATTATTCATTGTGAAACAACTTTAAATATCAGAATCATTTTCACCAATAGTCTAAAATATACCTCACTGCCTGTGACAGCTCATGAAATCTGTTTTCTTGCTTTCTCACTACATCTCATTCTTTTAAAAAAAAAAAAAAAAAATCTGCAAAATGAACGCTATAATTGTGATTCTTCAACACAATAAAATTGACATACTTAGAATTCCGCAGTCAACTATCCTGGCAGGCAGTTGGGCTGAATGATCCATTAGGCTTTCTCTATCCTTATCTCCCATGATTCAGTTTTACAGAAAGCTAAGAATTTCTAAACCCCAGAAATAAGATAAAAGGAAGGACTTTCAGCAGAGCAGGCTCAGACCTCCTTCAGATCAGGCACTAATATCCGCCTGCATAAACAATAATTATGAAGCCATTTGTAATCATGATTTTGTTATTTGGAAATGGTTTAATTTGGTGTCCATTTTTTATTTTTTTTAATCACAGGTTATTATAAAGAATGCATTAATATGCTTATATTAACAGCACAGAGGGAAACCAATTTACTTTTTTCTCCCCCTCTCCCTGTGGCTTTAAATCATCCAGTACAATGGACCTACTTTGGAGAGGTGCTCTCTGAAAATTATAACCAACTTGATTTAGAGTGAAGGGGTTTATATACTGGATTTTCATATGGTTGGAAGGAAGAGGTTAAGTACAGGCTTGTGTTAAGGCAATGGGCTCCCCTGTTCCAGTTTCAGGATTACCGTGCTTTTATATTAAATCACTTAGTCTTTCCAAAGTTCCTGTGAACTGACAGAGTGTATATCATTGAAATTGTTTCCCATATCTGGGTCCTTTCCCCACCAAGACTGAGTACAGTTTTTGAAATACCATACAAGCAAGTATTTTGGTTGTCAGTGGTCACCTTGACATTTGCCTGTGTTCTTTCCTCTCCATCTTCCACCGATGATCCGTTCTGGGCTTCTGATCAGTGGCAGACGCAGCTCTACTATAAGGAAGCAGGTAATAAAGAACTCACTCTGTGTGTGGGGATGGGGGGTTATTTTTGTGTCTGTCTCTTGCATAGAGCTTTTTTGTATGTTCTTTTTTGAGTGTTTGGGAATGTAAGAACTGAAATGGTAAAAACCTGGATCTTCCATAAACCTTTTGCAGTCACCTTTTTGGGCAATAACAAACTTCATTTTTATGTTTTTTGGTATTTTGAGAAAGATCTGGTGTCCAGAATTCCATACAAGTTCGATGCAGTCCTATATTCTGAGGCTGTAACTTCTTCTGGACAGGCATTGGTTGAGATATTCAAAGCCATCTGTCAGTTTTTGACACGCATCTTCCATTAAAATTAATGGCAACTTGGAAATCAGGACTGATCTTTTTGTGTTTTGTACAGTGTTGAGTGGATTGTCCATACTAAACCAACAATAAATAATGATATTGGAAGGATGATATTTGGGGGTGTGGGATAGCTCAGTGGTTTGAGCATTTGCCTGCTAAACCCAGGATTGTGAGTTCAATCCTTAAGGGGACCATTTAGGGATCTGGGGCAAAAATCTGTCAGGGGATTGGTCCTGCTTTGAACAGGGGGTTGGACTAGATGACCACCTGAGGTCCCTTCCAACGCTGATATTCTATGGCTCTATGACTTGGAGCTCAGGCATTCCCAATTACTGAACAATTTTGGTTAAAGGCTGATACTGAATCAGCTCAATAACTTAGTTATAATAGTACTTGCCCTTCTGTAGAGCCTTCCATCAGAGGGGCTCAAAGCATTTGACAAACGTTAATGAGTTGAGTATTCGTGTGACATTGGATAGTATTATCCCCATTTTACATATGGGGAAACTGAGTCACAGACCGTAAGTGATTTCCCCCCCCATGCCACATAGTGTCTGGAAGAGCTTGGAATAGAACCCAAGCTGCCTGACTCTCAGCTGCTTCTTGAGCCATGTTACCATCTTCCTACTCATCATGTGGCATCGTTAGACTCTGTCCTATAGTAGTCTTCCTGAAGAACAATAGGTATGTTAGTTATATGGTTCATATGAGAGATACTCTTGTTGAAGAGTATACTTTCAATCTGTTAACTTGTGACAGAATAGGGCAATGTATTTATCCTACTTTAGTTTATCTTCACCCATGACAGGTGTGTGTGCTTGTATCACTGTCTTCTATGGGTGGAACTATCAGACCTGCTTGTCTGTGACATCATTACCCACTAGCAGCCTACATAAACTGCTTCACTAAGGTTCACAGTCCATTGTTTCCTGATGACATATATTATTTCTACTGCTATTTGTTCTCTTTTAAATTCACATTTCTATTAAATAAAGTTGTAACTGCACGCTGGCCATACCTTTCATAATAAAAGGGACTCCAAGGAATTCTAAGGATGCTTTCTTTTCTGTCCATAGTGGATGACTTATTGCCTTTTAAACTATGACATTTTAATAACAAAGGAACTAGATCATGTTATCCTGGGATAGGAAGGAGCTGGAAAAATTTTTTCACATCCAATAGAGACAAGATTTGACTTGAAACATCATTTCATCTGCTCCTCCTTTGGTCCCTTTTCATTCTTGAGCAATAGCTTACAGAATCTGTCTGCTGGCACTTTTCATTAGCCAGAAAGTAGGTTGCAGTTGCTGTTAGAAGGCATTGTATATAGCAGGATAGCCAGCACCATGCGTGTCTTGTTAGTATGTTGGTAGTTTGAGGGAAAGGCAGACTGTATTTTACATTTTTCTTTCCGATTTAGGAAATTGTAGGCACGATATGTCCCTTGCTATATTTTGAGCAATGATTATAAGCTATGTTTAAAATCCAGTATGCTGATTTTTGAAAACCCACTTTCCATGTTACATCTCAAGATTTTTGGCTTTATCATAATTTAGTATGTAGGCTGCTGTGCTGCAGCTAGATGAAAGGTATAGTCTTAGTTATTTTGGGATGCTGGAGGGCAGGGGAGAGTTTGTAGAAATATCTGCCGTGAATAAAAGCTATATAAATTGAATGAAAATCTGAATCTTTATTTAGAGAATTTGCATTTCAAGTTGTTTGCAGGCTCTCCTATGCAGCAGAGCTGGATCTTTTGAATATCCTGAACTCATCTGTTGTGGAGATTGTTGCTTTGTTTACACACTAGTAACACTCTTTCAACAGGAAGTGAAATAGCTGCATGTCTGTTTATTAATAGCCATTCACAGTAGTGTTTGAGGGCTCACAATGTATTCTGTACTTGATTGGAGATGACATACTATACCCTGTGACTTGAAAACCTAAAAGCTAATCCGTTTGGAAAAATGAGTGCCTCTGTGCCTCAAATAATCCACATGAAATCACTTGTGTGTGACTCTTTTGAGTGTGACCTACCAATTTAAATTGCACATCGTTCAGAAATTATCTCTTTGAGGACAGTGTGTTTTTCTCTATAAAGTTCATTTGATGCCTCTCTGAAATGAGCTGTGTAAATCGGTGGTGCTATTTGGATGATTATTAATAAACTCTTTGTCATTCGCCAAGTAAGCTGCAGGTTTCCATAGTGTTTCAAAGCACTGTTGTATTGCAAAGTGTGTCCTCTTATACAGCTTGCAGAAAGCTAGTGCAATCCAGATAATGAGGAGGGAAAATTGTTAATTACAAAATTACATTTGATGTTTTCCTAAAAGATCTGCTCTGGGAATTACTTTGGGGAAGTTCCCTGGCCTGGGTTATACAGGAGGTCAGACTAGATGATCACAATGGTCCCTTCTGGCCTTGGAATCTATGAATTAAAGGAATTCTACAGCCCACTAAAAGGAAAATCACTAAACCTTTTAAAAAATATATTCAATTAAGTCACTTAACCTCTGTGCTTTAGTTGACTCTTTTCTAAAATGGGAACAGTAATACTCTATCTCACAGATATTGTTGAAATCTAATTGTTTGCAAAGTATCTTGTGATCCTCTGAAGACAGGGGCTAGAGAAGTGCATTGAACTGTTCGCCTATTACACAACTTCATCACTGAATTGTTTATGGTGGAAATTGGCAAGCTAGAAAGTGTCATTTACTGTGTTCTGGCCCTGGCCCAAAGAACAGCCTGCACTCCAAGCTGTCATTGTGAACTGGTATTTTGACAGTACTCAGTGCTTAGCCCAAAGGTCAGTGAGCATATGACATCTAAAATGTTTTTGCAATAAAATGTCAGGAGCTTGTTCTGCAAAACCAAAATTTGTCATGTTTGGGATAAATGGAAATCAATCTGAAAAATGTACAAATATGGACTCAGCCAGAGGGCCACAACTTTGTGTGGGTATGCGCTGCACGAGATGAAGGAAGGGCATAGTAGGTTTTCTCTCCTTTTCCTTCCCTGGCACCTTGTGCACCAGTTGAGCATAGGTGTTGTGCAGAGTTAGTCATTACAGCAGCACCAACTGGCCTTCTCAAAGCATGATGTTGGCAAAGCTGGCCAGCCACAGGGAGCTCGTATGACACCACTGGTGCTATAACATTGCTGCTTCCAGAGGCATTGCATGGAGCTGTGCCCTAAAGGTGTTAATGCAGCCCAATAACGGTCTTCTACACTGAGTCCAGATCAGAATTGGTGATCCTTGGTTTTGACTTGGTGCTTTTTCATTGCACATAGATATATTTATTCCTGTATAGCTTGGGATGGCAGTTACCATCTCTGCAAAAGGCAGTGTTATGTCTCTAGGATAATTCACAAACCAAATAGTACCTCCTTCAGAGACTCTGCTTCGGGCCCTGTGGACAGCTCTGTTCCCAATCCCTGGCAGAAGGTGTATTGCTCCATGAAGTTTTGCTTGTGGATTTCAGAGTTGTTTTTTATTTTTCAGTCAGCTCTGTGCTTGACTATTTGTTTTAATTTTCTCCCTTGGTTGCTCAGGACTCCAGCCAAGCCATTCCCCTTGTGGTGGAGAGCTGCATACGATTCATTAGCAGACATGGTAAGTTTACAGATGACAAAGTAATCATTTTTTCAAATGCCCCTTAACAGAATAAGGCAGGCAAAACTTTTTTTGTTTTTTAAGGGTGTGTAAAACTCATCATGAGGAACCAGAAAACCTAGATTTGGATCCCGCCCCTGAACTCTAGGAAAGTTGACATCCAAATTTCATAACCTGAGTCCGTCCATCTCTAATTTAAGTGAATCACATGGCTGCTTCAATGTGCGGAGTCTCTTGTGAATGTTTAGAGTAGCCTGGTGCAGAACATGTGTGTTGGAATCCTACAGCAGGCACTACTAAGAACTCCCCACTGTCCACTTGGAAGAGTCAGTAGTGCTGCACTATTGTCTATCCTAAGCATAGGAAGACAGATTGGCTGCTGCAGGTACTTGAGGTGGGGAATGCTAAGCACTAAATAGTGCCTCCTACATGTATCCTTCCTTCCCAGCGGGGAGTTACTTGGATACTGCAGAAGTGTTCAAGTTTCCTTAGGTTTCATTCAACGTGTGTCCCATAGCTTCTTGTCTTCAGTCTTGCATGAGGTTGGAAGATTATCCCTCTGACTGGGGCAATATTACCAGGCCTTTGTGTTCAAGTTGTTTCTGTGCCTTTATCTATTTTCTTGTCATGTAACCTCCCTCCCAATATCTGTCTTGCCTACTCACAACTCTCCCCGGCCTCACGTTCTGAGCTATTCTCCTTGCCCACAATATTCAAGTGACCGTTCACGGGAGCTGAGGTGCAGATTTATTTGCTTGGATAAAGGATAAATGTAGCATTTTAAGATAAACATCTTCCACACATTTTATTCTAAGTTGTGTGTGTTTTTAATTAAATGTTATTTAATAATAGCATGAAGAACGGCTGCTAGTCAATAAGCTTGGGGTTTGTTTTCATCTAACCAATACACAGAGCCAGAGAATAGGTTCAATTGTACTTTGCTTTTGTTTTAATCACTATTGCAGGTTGGAAACTATTGTGTAGGTTCTCCCCACTTTTTCCCTTTTGGAGTACCAAATAAAATATATGCTAAAGAAAGCACAATTTGGGATTAGAGACATGTGCTCTTCTCGTACAAATCCATGTCAAAGGAGAATTATAAAGAATTGATGGCTTAACCCGTTAAAGTTAAGTTCTGTAACATGGTTATTACATCTTGCATCTGAATTGATGCTTTTGAATAAAGATTTCCCTGTAGATAGTGGATTGATTCCATTTTCATTTTCAGTTTGCTGCATTTCGGTATATATTTATTTTCACTGTGCAATGTGATATGTGTGCTGATGATACCAGGAATAATTAAGGGCCATGTAACACAAGAATGTCATTGCTTGTGGATTAAAATAGTACCATAATTTATGAGACGAAGAGCTGGCCACAGATGATCCAAAAGAGCTTATTAATTACATATACAGTGCCATAAACCTACAGTACATAGAGCTTTGCAAAAGTCAAACTCCCTGCTCCTGTCCAGAGGCTTGAATAAATACAACCATTTCCTTGTGCTGGAATTATTTTAGAAGTTAGGATGTTGGCTTTAAATGTTTGCTGCTCATATTTCATGTTCCAACAAAGATATTTTATAGGAATCCATTGGAATCCATCAACTACTTGCCCCCATTAGTTTTAATGATTTTATAATACTTAACTACTCTACTGGAATATCCTGAAAACTCCCCTAGAGTCCCAAATATCAAGTCACATTAGTGGTAGTTACATTCTGTAATTTCAATTGAATAAGTTGTTCACTTCTTGTCGTAACTATTTTCTATTGTTGCTGTTAAACAATAAAAAGTTGCTGTGTTCTGCCCAAGGAGTGGCTTCAATATATAGGTTGTATATGAGCCAAGTGATTCAATATATAGGTTGTATATGAGTTTAAGTTAGTAGAGTACTTTGTGGTACTTCCTTCTAGTGAGGGAGGGAAGTAAATACTTTTCACTTTTTTCCTGGTGTGGAAGGGGAGTTCATCCCTTGTTGTATTCTTAGATTTTTGCAGAAGGAAATTTCCCAAAGGGTGTGAGAATTTGGCCTGTCCTGCTTGTTGACATGGTTGTAATGTTTTAGATGGATGGGATCCCACCCTGATTGTGCCTAGGCTGGGCAGGATTTTTTTTTTTTTAATAATTTCAACAGGTGATATCAATGTTTATTTTTAAGGGTTTTTTTAAGCGTAATGATTTTAAATTTTTGCAGTTGCACAAAATTATGAACTTTAAGCATTTTTTTAAAAGTTGTATCAGAATTTTCACATTTGTGGGAAATTATGTAGAGATCAGATGATGCTTTAATGACAGTACATGTTAAGATTCAAAAAGTTAAAGCATTATATAAACTGTTAAAAGTCAAATTGTCAACATCACATGCCAAAATATTTCAAGTAAATATTCTTAAAACAAACTAAGTTCTCCAGCAGCGTTTTTCTTACTTTGCCTAGTTGTAAACTTCAATTATCATAGGAAAATGTTTTTGTTGGTTTGTGATATATGGTGAAAGACATTTTAATGACACCTTCCAATAAAACTCATCTTTTCAAATCGATTATGCAATATTACTTTGCCAGATGAGGAACTGAGTTGAAATCTTTGACTGTCATTGTGGGTTTCTCTTATTGTCTTACAGGACTGCAGCATGAAGGCATATTCAGAGTGTCTGGATCGCAGGTTGAGGTGAATGATATCAAAAACGCATTTGAGAGAGGTAAGGAGGGTGTATTCTGTATCATATCACCACAGGTGTTACCATTCTAAAATACCTTTAGTATTTTGGACACAACTGATTGTGCCCTGGGTAGTGTGGTTTTTTTTACAGTTCTACATTTCATAAATGACTCCAGGCAGAGAATTTTTTTCAGTGCTCACTAACCTTGAACATATAAAGTCACTTGATATGTTATGCTTCATGTCTTGCTACATCGCCGTATAATAATCATTCAGAATTTCGGCACCTGTCATGTTGGATTGTTTAATGACTGCACACATTTCCTTCTTGGATTTAACTGCCTAGTCTGTTTTCCTCCACTTTGTGAATAGACTCTATTCCATGCCTGGGGTGGGATCTCTTGCCCCTGACATTTCTTGTAAAGCAATATGACTACATTTACTCTAATCACCACAAAGTAAGAGAGTCCATTTCAACTCACTGTTCATTTTACTCTTATTTGGAGGGCTTTTGTTGGGTTTTTAGCTTGCATATGTGATTAGCCTTATGCACAAGCAACTCTTTGGGGGCCCTCTGACACAGCAAGTCACATCTGACCCAGTTTCCCTGCCACAGTGGGACCAGAGAAAAAGTTAGCTTTCAGATCAGTCCTAGCAGTTTGTGGCGCCCTTCTTGCTTGGGACTCTGAAAATCACAAGGCTGGTCCTGCTTCCTCATACATTTCATGTTGCAAGTGACACATGAATTGTAAGTTTTCATGTTCACATATCTCCACATCCCAGATATGGGTGCATAGCAAATTGCTATCAGTGAGAGGAGAGAGAGATGTACGTATTTTAGAGATGTGATCTTATTCTGCCTAACCATGAGGTTGTTGAGACTACAATGCATTTGTCTTTTATCTGAGAATGAAATACCTTGGAGAACAAAGGAAATGCATGTGTGGTAGGGTTGAGGGCTTACAATACCAGACTCAGACTACCTTTCTTAAAGTAAAGGACAGATGTCAGACATTTCAGGGAAAACAGCCAGTTATTCCAGTATCATCAAAATAACATTACTTTTTTTAGTTTCATTTTGCTTGTCCCTCTAAAGAGGATGATATACAGAACTGACGAAGTTAACAATAATGTCTGTGCAGTTTATTACTTAATCCAGAACCCTTGGTAGCAGTTAATATCAAAGATAATGCTCTGGTTCATAGTGGACCATTTATTATCCTGTGTGGTTATTAAAGTAATAGGCAAGCTTTGGTAATTTCTGTCACATAATGGATATATATAGCTTCGATTTGAGGTTTGCCCCATCATAAAATCTAATTATATTTGATAGGGAGATTTCCGTAGGGAACAGCTCCTTCAGTGTGTCTTTTTTTTTTGTAATAGGCGAACTACAATATAGATAGTCACTAATTAACTGCACCAGAAACTTTATTTCCCTACCAATCCAGCACAACATGTCTCCTTCTAAGACTTGTAAAGGTAGCGATTGGCACAAGCATTGGCCTGCTGTGTAGGCCCCAAAGCAACCCCACAGTGAATCACAGAGTTGATTAGGACGTGAGCAATTTGTGGCAATGTGCTTCCTACCTCCTATAACCCAGTTAAGCAAATGCTCTGTCTGTTCCCTCCAACCAAAAACACCTGGACTGCAGAGCCTCCCAAAGCAACCACAGCTCCAGGAGTAATTCCACCCCCAATGTGGTCATAGGTGGGGGACTCTTCCTCCATGTGTTGGGGTCAGATGAGAAAGTCAACCCCTTTATCTGCCTGACTGGGGGCATGCAGCCACCTCCAGCCACAGAGGATGGCTGCCAAGGACCTTTCTTGATTGCTGTACTTAGGGGACGGCTTTCCCAATCACCCATTGCCTGCTCGGGGTGTTGGGGGAATAGGGAGTAACCTTTGGATTACATGGATCCTTCTTTCTGGCTGAGACATGTCCTTCTAGCAGAGCAGCCAGATCCTCTGTCTACCAAAGTTCTTACTATTCCTCCCTACCTCCTTTTTTTTATTATTATTGTTTTTGTTGTAACTAGGGGAGGATCCACTGGCTGGAGACCAAAATGACCATGATATGGACTCAATAGCGGGAGTTCTGAAACTCTATTTCCGAGGGCTGGAGCACCCTCTATTTCCGAAGGAAATCTTTCATGATCTGATTGCCTGTGTCAGTAAGTAGATGAAGGAATGGTGTTTTCTATTTAAATAGAAGACCTGCAAAAAAATGCAGATGACCCTTTATCAACCCCCCCCCTCAATCCTCTGCTCCCCATTCCCCCCAAAAAGATCAGTTTATGGTAATAAGAGCAAACTTTTATTGCACCAGAAATGTTGATTTTATTTTCCATCATAGCCCAGATTGCTTTTTTTGAGCATCCCATCTTCATCCCCTCCCAAAATATTTCTCCTAATCCCTTTTAGGCTCTGTGCTCCAGCCATCATCCAGAGAGGTCTGCTCAACTCTCTTTGTAGCACTCTTTAATCTCATGGCAAAGCCTGTTTAGGAAAGTGAATCTGAGAAGAGAATGAAGTGGATCCTTTGGGATCTGCACCACAGCAGCATGTTTCTGAGATAGTGGCCACAGCATCTTCAGAGCCAAAGCTTCATAAGTAGTTTTTTTAAAATAATAATTTGCACAAAATGCTCCTTTAAAGGCCTAAACTCAGAACGTGCTTCCAGCTGCCATCTTGGAAGCCCACTGTTCTAGCAGAGTTTTCCTGACCAGTCTGCTATCCCCAGTCTGCTATCCATGTACATGCAGCACATCTGTTCTGGTGCATGCCATGTATTTCCAGCAGGGAAGCAGCTGTGTGTTTTAACCAGTCTGAATAACCCTTCCATAACCACAAGGAAGATTCCTTATGGACTCTCACTACTGAATGTATAATGTGAGAGTGATCACAGTCCAGGTATAAACAGCTTGGATTATTTCAAAGCTTTTTCTTTTTTGTTGGAAACCAAGTTTAAATGGTCCCATTATTGCCGAATCATTCAGCAGCAAAGAATGAATCTATTGTCCAGGCAGTGGAATAGCCATCAGCGGCAGCCTTTGAAGTGGGGCAAAGATAACTGCTTCCGAAACAACTCATGGTTTTCTTCTCACAGTAAATGACTTTACAAAGCTTAATTCATATTAGATGAAAAGAAATCTGCTCCCAAATAACTTCATCCTTCCAGGGCTGAGGATTTATGCTGCCTACTTTTTTTCTCCGTCGTCTGCTGCACACAGAGCTTTTAGCTCACCCTTTAGCTATGGTAATCTATTTTCTGAGTCAGACCTAACACTTTTTTGTTCAACACCCACCTTTTGTAGCTGATTGGAATGAGCTATTGTGTTGGATCTAGTGAAACAGACATCACTCAGTGCACCCACACTGTAAGGGAACCTGCAGATAGATTACACATACCATGTATCTTTGCAATAAAGGGCTTTGCAGAACAGGTTATGCATACATTACATCATCCAATAAGGCATTTCTGGAGAACACATCATACACCTTACAGGAAGCAGATAGCCCCTTTCTTCCCCAAGATTCTGTGCTACTGTATCTTGGCTCCTATCTTTAATATTTTACACCCTAGTGTAGGGAACCTCCTAGTGTGCCACAGACGTGCAGATTCAGTGACTTCAGGTATGGCCATGGTGATATAATAACTCTGTATGGTGCTCTTTCCTCCTTTCAGCAATGGATAACTTACAAGAAAGAGCACTACACATCCGGAAGGTCCTTCTGAGCTTGCCTAAAACCACTCTGATTGTAATGAGATACCTCTTTGCATTCCTCAGTCAGTGAGTATCCCTGAAAGCACTAGAGCTCTGCAATAGATGTTGGGGTTGGTATAAATGTGTTGAATGAGAGGACTGCAGATTTGACACTCTGCAGTTTCTGATCCAGAGCAGCAGTTCAGGCTACAAGTGCCGTTCTCTTTGCCAGTAGCAGTTTGTTGCCTCTCAGCCTGCTTACTTAACTATTGTATCTATTTTGCTGGGCCTCTCAGCATTGCAAAATGATAATTAGAAAAAACTTCAGCAACCTCAACAGAGTTCTTGAAATGAAAATTCATAATACTAGAGCTAGCCTGGTAAGCTAATGGAAGTGCAGCATGAAGGATCAGGGTCTGGGTCCCAGGCTAGCAAGAACTGGGAATGCTGCGTACTCCATCCTTGTTGGGGTAGATGGGCTCAAAATGCATAAGATCCTTACTCCCCAGCTGGTGGGTACATGGAGCTCTGCTGGCAGAGGGGACCCAGCCTTATTCTCCTTGCATGCTGTGGGGCTCTTGAGGATGCTAAGAGGAGGAAATGTTACATCCCTGCATATATTCTGTATGGAAGCTGATAACATCAAATGGGTGTTCCAGTGGTATTGTCCTTCATCATGTTCACATTGGGGCCGGTAAAAAAAAGAGAGACTGCATTTGGGAGGGGATGTTTAAATTATCTATGGTATATACACAGTATTTGGGCTTGAATCAAAACACTAGATCTGTACAATCCTAAACTTTGGCAGAGACTGAATCTGACCTTCCCATCTGGCACCTTTATAACAGACTGAACCAAAATTCTGGATCAGAACATCCCCAGAAGTTTTTGGATCTGGAGCTAAATTTTGCAGCCTCCCTCTAGACATTGCCAAAGTTCCCTGAAACGTTATACTAAAACCAAGCAATAGAAAACCAGGCACTGTTCCAATGATTATATGTTGGCATTGCTCTGTGGATTCCTGTCTGGTTGACCAATTGCATCAGGGGAGTGACAGTACAAGAAGATTCAACCTTCCATACTTCAGAGCTGAATTCTGAGGTGCAGCTCTGCAGAGCTCAGTCATCTTAATCGCATCATTTTGGCAACCTGGAGGATGGATGTCTCATCCTTTTCCTCATGATGGGTTTAACGTCTTGTACTGCAATTTGAGGTTTCCGCTATAAATAACTTAGAGGGATATGGAAGCTCTTGCCCTTTCTCTCATCTGTCTCCCACAGGTCATTAAAACTAGCTAGACAAAGCAGCTCTTTCTGCCCTCACTGCCTCCAATAAAATGGAGGAAAATTCGGCTTCCAGAATGGAAGAAATAGTGTGTGTTTAGTTTGTATAGAGCTTGGGAAATTTATTTCTACAACTGCTTTGAGAAATCTTACTGATTTTAACTAATAAGTTATGCTATGGCCATTGAACAACCAGTCTTACACAACAGTGCAACAGACATTATTCATGAAATAAAGCATAGCCCTAAAACTCAGGGGGTCACACTCTGTTTAGACATGCATATGCAACTCCCACTGACTTCTGAAGCTGAAATAAAAATCGCTGTAGCTTGTTGAATTGTCTTGGCTCCTAATTGGATTAGCCGCACTTCCAAAACTAACTTGAAAGGCAAAGGACTCTAAATAAACCCCAAGGCTGACTTCATAGCAGAACTGAAAGTGCTGTAAATCCAACCTCAGCCTGCAGAAAATACTCCCTAAAGTTGTGAAATCCTCAGTACTACAAACTAAATATGACCAGGCCTGGTCATGCTTGGATGGGAGACATTCTAGAGTAACCCCCAGTATGCAGCAGGAGATGGAACTGCTGTTTCAGTAGATTACACTCTTCCTGCTAAGTATTGAACTGCTGCCCCAGATTGATGGTAAGGACTGTCTCCACTTGTGATAATTACGGAGCCCATTTCACTTGAGATAAGCTTAGTGGAATGTTTGCCCACCTTGCATCCTATCTAAATATCATAGCTAACTATGTATTTTCATTGAGATGGTTTTTCTTTCTGTCCTACATGCTGTGCACTCTTATAAACAGCTTGGGAAATAAGATTTCTCAGAGCAGTTGTGCTGATGTGTTGTGCTCATGTGTTCAACCTCAGAGGTGGCTGCATTTCTATGAGGGGGGTGAAGTGATTCCTGCATATGTAAATTTGCAAAGCACTTCAGGCTGCTTCTCGATGTAAGCAGGTTATTAAAATAAGATTAATATTTTGGTTTTACTGCTCATGTGGCAATCAACATTAAATAATTCAGAGACTTGAGTCCTGTTACCCGTGTGTGAGGCACTAATACATCAGCTGCTCCTGAGAGATGCCCAGTCTCCTATGTAGAACTTGGTAGCGAGTTTAAAAACTCTTATTAAAATGGTTCAGGGCATTTGTTGAATCCGATCCGATATATACATCTCTGCCCAGATATAACGCAACCTGATATAACATGAATTCTGATATAACGCAGTAAAGCAGTGCTCCGGGGGTGGCGGGGCTGCGCACTCCGGCGGATCAAAGCAAGTTCGATATAATGCAGTTTCACCTATAACGCGGTAAGATTTTTTTTTGGCTCCTGAGGACAGCATTATATCGAGGTAGAGGTGTATTGCAGAAATTGTTATTGCACTGTGGAAAACCAAAAAACATTCACAAGATTACCACCCTTTTCCTCCTCCCAAGCTCTTGTATAGGAAAGAGATACTCTGCAGTGCAAGAAGAGAAACTTTCCACAATAGTGCTGTGAAATTCTTTGATGCCTTGGGATTCTTATTCCACAGATGTCACTTCTGGAGTCATTGAAGTGGATGTTTCCTTCCAGCCTTAATAGCTTTTAATTATTTTAAGAAGTGAACTGGAAAACAGGGTCTTTCAAGGGGGTTGTTCTAGAATTTAGCTCTCTGGTGCTTAACCATTAACTGGTGCCTTGACAGGCTTAAATTACAGGTTTGGGGTTAAAATTTATTCAGATTAAAGAAGTGTTGCTGTGCAGAGACTCAGTGTTCCGGCTGCACTTGGTAAATCCTACAGATCTGCTCCAGGAAAAGCTGCTAACAAGAAACATCTTGGTCTTTGGGAAAGGGTTTGGTTTGGAAAATACACTACCTAACTCTCGCTACCAAGCACAGAGTTGGGCAGAGGAGCTCAGGTTTTGCTCTGGAACTGGATGCAGGGCCGCAGTGAGATTATAAACAGCAGTCATAAAGCAGGATATGCTTCTGCTTGTGAAGTCAGCTCCCCAAAGCCTTTCAAAGCAACACAGTCCCCAAACCTCTACAATCCCTTGGAGGTTTTTAGCTCCAACTGGCCTTGCTTTTCAACTTCAAAGGGTTTCAATACGTCCCTGTAGCTAATACTAAAAGTCCTAGTGGCTGCTTCCATAGTGAGCGTTGGCTTATTCTTGTGCTATTGGGAGCCTTTGTGCTTGGAAAGAACTGTTTCGAGGAGGGTGCAAATGGAAAGAAGCAGAAGGGCTCCTTGGTTGCCAGCTCCCTTGCTGTGTTCGGTGCTGCAGGCTGTGATGTGTGGAGCAGCAGTGACTCAGTCAGGCCTGCCTTGGCCTCTTGACTGGATGTAAGGTGTTACTGCAGCAGCTGCTATCGGAGCAGGGTGCAGAGAGTCGACCGCATGTAAATAAATCCCTGGCAATGAAATTCAATCTGCATGAAGAATAAAGCTATTGAAAAGAGGAACAGTCTGACATTTTCTTTCTTTACCAATGCTGCATGTGCTGATTGAGGAGGATGTTAGGGAAATGGAAAAATGCCTTAGCGATTGAGTAAAGAAATCAGCATGTCAGCAAGCAGCAAAGTTTTCTGTTTTTCGGTACAGATCTCCACTAGGAATCTGTTTTCATGCAAGCCGTGTCAGATCAGGCAGTCAGATCCTGGGAGGTGCATCTAGAGGAGTTCCTCCTTCCTCAGTAAATTCCAGTCACTCTTATTTTTCCTTTATTGACCCAAAACGTTCCGTTCCCAGCAGAAGGGGCTTAAAGAGCAGAGCACCCAAAGCTAGACCTCTCGATTTAGATGTTGGCTCCCTAGCAGGAGGTGTCGGTATTGTTGGCTCGTATTAATCCTCTTCTCCCGGTCTTTTGCAGTTTATCTCAGTTCAGTGAAGAGAACATGATGGATCCCTACAACTTGGCCATCTGCTTCGGGCCCACGCTGATGTCTGTGCCTGAAGGCCACGATCAGGTCTCCTGCCAGGCTCATGTCAATGAGCTGATCAAAACCATCATCATCCAACATGAGAACATCTTCCCAGGACCAAGAGAACTGGAAGGCCCAGTCTACAGCAGGGGTGGAAACACTGAGGATTACTGGTACAGTAGGAGCCATTAGGGAGCAGAGGAAGGGGGCCAGCACTTAATGTGCTCATTAACTAATTGTGTGTTGTAGTCATGCACACTGCATTGTGTCAAATTCCAGCCTCCAACACCAGTCCCAGAATTTAAAGGAGTTAAAAACAGGTTGCGGAAGCCAGGGAGCCAGCGACTTACATGAAATAGGCCCTGTAGGAAATAGCCAGTGACCCAAATGTCAAACCTGTGCTTCATTCTATTGAAGGAGAATAAATGACCACAGTTAGTCCTGTAGCTGTGATGACCATAATCTCCTGGAGGAAGCCAAACAGATAGTATGTTGACTGTGTTCGTCCCTTACGTTGTTGTTACTTTTCTCATTTTTCTGCCTGTTCTAGGTGACATTCCTTGAGGTACAGGGTTGATTGCAGCTGAACCTAGAAAGCTGTAAAGGACAGTACTGATCAGGGGTGAAATACAAAATCACCATTTCCATCCAACCAAAACCCCAGGAGGCCTGGCCACGCATTCTGTCAGAAGGCAGCATCTGGAAACAATTGAGCCAGAGCGGCTCCTGTCAACTGGGGTGGAAGGTTGTGGAGGGAGGGGGAAGGGAGGTGTTTGCTTTCCTAGTGGTTGAATTGATCTCGCCCATCTCCCGCTGAAAGGAAGAATGTTTAACTGTCTCACTGCCCTTGCCCCAGGAAGGCAAATGACTTTCTTGTGTTGATATTAAAAAAAGAAGGAAGTCACTCTTTTGGCAGAGCTTGTTGACTTTTTTTCTTACCGTATTACAGGATAGGCTAACTCATCAACCGTCCGACCACTAGATATGAGATGAGGAGAGACTGTTTTTTTACAAACTGTTAGAAGTTTTTAACAAAGGGTTATTGCAATGGCACTTTGATTGATTTACTCTTCATGGCTTCCATTGATTTTACTGGCTGGCTGAGCTGTATGGGCTGACTTTTAAATCCTTTCAGAGACCTGTATTTTCATGGTGTGAGGTTTCCCCTAGGTGGATGGGAGCTGTCATAAGGAATTAAAAAGTTAAATGTTTAGCTCGTGATTATTATTACACTTAATGTATTGTTTATGCTGTTTATTGTGTTAAAGTGTACATGGAACTTGACAGGGACGTGTAGGGGAAAATCCCTACCCCAAATTACTAATACTTAGGCAAATACAGTACATGGTGAAGGGGATCTCTGGGGTTTTGTAACTTGTTACTCTGGTGTCTGGCTCCCAAGTGCTCTTTTCACTTAGAACTTGCTTTGGAAAACATGAGGGTGCCTGGCTTCAGACATGCCATTGGATCCACAGCTGAGAAAGTGACCATGCAAAATCATGTCCTCCTATACTGACCGTCACTATATTTTGGGGGTGGGAAGGCAGTGTCTCATCTACCTTTATAAAAAAAAAAATTAAAATGTTCTTCAGGTTCCCATCAGTTATCTCAATTTACTTTGCTTGTCTCTATTTTTCTTCTATCTTCATACTCCCCCCTCCCCCTTACCCCCCGTTTCCTACTTACAGGGGAAGCCAGGGAGGGGTGGAGTTCAGTGTGATTTAAAATGTTTGAAGAAATTAATCAGGGAGAAGCATCTGGTTACCATTCAAGCCTCGTGGTAGCCGTGGTATTAAGTGGCTGTTAGTCATTGCCCACAGGGCTTTCTGCTGCAGAGCTTGCACGTGGCAAAGTGGCTCCCCTCCTGGCTGAGCTGGTTCATCAGACAAAGGGAGATGAGTGCGTTTGCACCTGAACACTGCCTCTTCCCCAGCCTCAACCTCAGCTGCCTTCTCTTGTCCTCACCTAGTAATGTACAAACGATGATGCTCCAGTGCAGAGGCCCCCCGTGGCTAGGAGCCATCCTTGATGTGCGCTGTGCACATTCCTTTCCATGCTCTCGCTGTGCAGCCGTCACTTTCAGTCAGCAGCTGCTGGGGAGGATTGAAATGACTTGTGCTGGGAGCAGAGAGGGCGGGACACAATGTACAGTTTGCAGTTGAGATTTAGGCTCTTGATATGGGCACCTTTAAAAAAAACCTATCCCATGTCTGTCTGAGCAGATTGACCCCACATGAGAATATACAGTGGTAATGGGGGGGTGGTCAGAGTCAAGGAATCTTATGTGAACATTAGAATTGATGAGGAGAACAGTTTATAAAGATGCTCAACTTGACTTGCATTCCTCTGGCAATATAGATTGCCAACACTCCCTCAGTATTCGTGTAGAACTCCAGCAGCCTAGCACTCCTCCTTACAGCATCCAAGCGCCCGTGTGATCCTTAGAGAGAAAGGATCTCTTTACAGCAGGGGCAGGGGTTTTTTTTTGGTTGGAAGTGTTCTATGGGGAGGAGGGAAGGAATGTGATCCTGCTTCTCTTTTCACAGTGTTTAGATCATTAGAGCTGTTTGTATGCTACATTACTTCACAATCTGGGTGAAACTTTAGCTTGTAATACTATAGCCCTCCTGGGGCTTTCTGTTGGCTTTAGATTCTTTCATTAAACTTTGCAGTGTGTTTATCCTGCCTAGTAAAGGATGGGAAAGTTAACTAGTGCCTCCTGAGGTATGGTCTTTGAAGAGGGCTAGGAAGCAGAGTGATTGTTATATGTATTAAGTGTAATGAGATACTGGGATTGTTTAGGCTCCTCTTTTTCTTTTTTAAATAGGGGGAGATAGATCTCGCTAACAGATTCTTAAAGGGAGAGTATGAGGCGTCCGTGAACTCTTACTCGAACCTTTTCAGGGCCAAAAAGACTGATCCAGTTATGATCCTCTGAAGAGATGTAAAAACTGCTTTTGAGACGATTCAGTCTGGTGCATGGAGGCCGTAAACCTAGAGCAAACAGGTTTTCCCTTTAACAATATATTCCTGTATAGGGGAGGGGAGAGTGCTCCTCATGCAGAATTGTTAGGGGTATACTAACTGAGCAAAGAAAGACGAACAGTCATTGCTAAAAGAACAGGAGTACTTGTGGCACCTTAGAGACTAACAAATCTATTAGAGCATAAGCTTTCGTGGGCTACAGTTCACTCTGTGCATCTGAAGAAGTGGGCTGTAGGCCACGCAAGCTTATGCTCTAATAAATGTGTTAATCTCTAAGGTGCCACAGGTACTCCTGTTCTTTTTGCGGATACAGACTAACACAGCTGCTACTCTGAAACCAGTCATTGCTAACTTGCAGTTCAGCTCTGCAGGGTGATTTGGGAGAGGGCCTGAATTCTCTCCCCTTTCTCTCTCCTCTCCCCTTTGTTTTCCACTTCTTACATGTGTGATCTTCGACAAGCTCTGGCTACATCTACATTACAGGGGGGAGTCGATTTAAGATACGCAAATTCAGCTACGTGAATAGCGTAGCTGAATTCGACGTATCACAGCCGACTTACCCCGTTGTGAGGACGGCGGCAAAATCGACTTCTGCGGCTTTTTGTCGGCGGCGCTTACTACCACCTCCCCTGGTGGAGTTAGAGCGCCGATTCGGGGATCGATTGTCGCGTCCCGACGGGACGCGATAAATCGATCCCCGAGAGGTCGATTTCTACCCGCCGATTCAGGCGGGTAGTATAGACCAGACCTCTGTCTCATTTCATATAATAGACAGTGGTGCTTAGGCATCTGTAAATAGACTTATGCCAGTTAATCTGATTCGGGAGTCAGTCATTTGGTGAATTAAGACAAGAACATTTTAAACTGATCAGAAGAAAAAATCTGAAGCATCCTATTAAATTGTGGAATAATCTCCTCTAGGGCAAATGACATTCCGTAACTTGGGTAACTAACTAATGAGAGCAATGGATAATATCATGTAGAGAATAATCCTCGACTGGCAGAGGAGATGAACTAGACTTTTATTATGCCTTTTCCATCTGTAACATCTAAAATCTTCTGAGGGCCAAGTGATGAGATCTAAACTCAGGTTTCCCTGATAGACATAAACTGAAAAAGCTACTCCAGGTGCTCATGGAAGTAGAGACAGCTTGATTTTCAACAGTATAGTTTTCAATGCATGTAAATACGTCCACTTCTAAAGAGTGCCCGGCACAATGGAATCCAGGTTTGGTACCACTGTGTAAAGCTCCTAGTATTCATAGACACAGAAATGTAAGTCTGGAAGGGACCTTACAAAGTCATCAAGTCCAGCCCCCTGCACTGAGGCAGGACCAAATACACCTAGGTTATCCTTGAAAAATGGTTTTTAAGAACAGGTTCAACCTGTTCTTAAAAACCTCCAGTGATGGGGGTTCTACAACCTCCCTTGAAAGCCTATTTTAGAGCTTAAATACTCTATTAAGTGTGACTGTTTTTGTAGATACATCTCTACTTCGATATAACGCTGTCCTCGGAAGCCAAAAAATCTTACCGTGTTATAGGTGAAACCGCGTTACATCGAACTTGCTTTGCTCCACCGGAGTGCACAGCCCCGCCCCCCCGGAGCATTGCTTTACCGCGTTATATCCGAATTCGTGTTCTATCGGGTCGCGTTATATCGGGGTAGAGGTGTAGTAAACTGACTTTCTTCTAGTGTAATGCATTGAATGTGTTTCCTCCCACTGCAGTGAAAGTCCTCATGGAGAAACAGCCTCAGCAGAAGATTCAGTTCAAGATATAGCAGCCGAGCATCATACCAGTGACGATGGTACGTGACGCATTTTAGCTGTCCAGGGGTTTGGGGTTTTTTGTTGGGAACGGGGATGTGGTCTTAAGTTTAAATTTAAAGTGCCGATAATCTGTTGGGGGAATTGAATCAGAAAAGCTGTTGGCAACATCCACCAAAAAATTGGAAGGCACACTGTCATCAGGAATCTTTCAAAACTAGTCTAAAAAATCCTGTTTTCCAAAGGTGCCTTCTCAGAGCGGCAAGCATAGACAGACTCCTGTCTTCTGTAATGCTCTGCACAGGCTTTTCGGCTCTCCTGTTGTTTAAACGGGTCTTTGAGCTGGGGAGCATGAGCTAAGCAGAAAGCCAAACAGTCAACCTGTCCCTGCCTGCTCTCTCACTCCCCTCTCCATGTGCTCTCTGCCAAGCTTCTTCCCTTTCAGTGGCCTTGGCGGGCAGCCGCATGTTGGTAAGTTCCAATTGCTTTATTTAAAACAAGCAAGCAAAAACCCCTCCTACCTTCTCCCTGCGAGCCAGTCTCAGGGACAGGGAATCCCTGCTGATTCTTGGTTTCTGTTGGGGATCTCCTCCACTGCCCTTCTCTTGGCCTCAGTAACTGAGGGGATTTGAGCCTCGTCCCACTAAGTAGCTTCTGCGTGACCTTTCCAGCCATCTCCTGATGCTCCCCAGCCTTGTGCAGAGTCCAGGGATGAAGAGACAGTACAACCCCAAACTCATTGATTCCAATCTCTCACCGCTATTGGCTAAAATGCCCTCTTTTAGGGGTTAGGGAAAACCATGCACATGAGCTCCTTGCAGAGCAGTGCAGGGGGCAGGTATGTTGTCAGTACCAGTGCATAACAAAGTGTAACTGCCAGTCCAAAGCAGCAAAACTGACTCAGAGTGGTGATCAATGCCCAAAGCAAACTGACCAAATAGAAACAGAAATGCATTGTGTTATAATGTCTGCCGGTTGTAATTGTCCTAGAGAAGTGCCTGTGACTACAGGAGCTGCACCATCTTCAGATGAAAATGTGACTTTTTTCAATTTGATTGCATGTCTTCTTGAATTGTTCTTTAGCAACCTACTCAGTGGCATTGGCTTGTTCTATGCTCCCCCTGCTGTCTCTGCACCAGTGGTTAACTGGTTAACCTATCCCATAGCTTGGACACATTCATGTTGACTTCATGTTGCTGGCGCACTAACCAGGAAGTAAAGACTGATGAGCCTTGTTGTCTGCCATCTCGGTTAGAAATGTGGGAATCAAGGAGGAAAACTAGTTCAACAGGAAAAACACAGTCAGAAGAGACTTTTAATCAAGGTTGTCAGGGGTATTAGAGAATATGGGTGTAAAATGATGTGCCTCTCATGTGCCCTTTAAACATCTTGTTCCTCTGAAAGTCACAGTCCCTTTGGAAAGCTTGGGAAAGCCTTTCCCTCTGTGTTATTTACTTACCCAATAAGGAATGACATCACTCAAAGGCAGACTCTGATGCCTGTTTAATCAGGACTATAATTCTGTTTGCGGGCACACTGATAGGTGGATGTTCTTGGCTGGTTTTTGAATGCTATTGTTGAACTGTTTGTGTAGCAAAAGAGCAAGGTGATTAGAGATGCGTTGTGGGCTAGAGCTGGGCTCCATCCCAAAGCCACTGGGGCTTGGCCTTGAGGAGCGTCATGCAAGGTGAGATCAGTGTTGGCTTGGAACAGCTTCCCACAACCTGTATAGAGTGTATGGAGGGAGAGTTTGGCACCTGGAATGGGGAAGGGAGGAGAACTGTGCCTTTGTCACTGCTGAGGGGTCAGGAGGTTTTTGTTAGCTGGGAGGGAAATGAAGGTGCTTTTTGGTAGCAGCAGGGAGGTGAGTTAGATCCCCAAGATAGGCTCTTGAGAGGTGTCTTGGCAGGCCAGCAGGTGGAGGGTGGCCAGAGATGCACCAGGTGAGGGGTGCTGGCAGAGCAGGATCTCTTTGTAGCCACCCACATGGGCCTGCTCTGCTTTGCACAAAATGGTGCCTTCAGGCCTAACTCCTGAGAAGAGCCAAGCGGAAGTTAGAGGGACTCAGACCCTCTCTGAATTTGCCTCTCAGTCTCCGAGAGAAGAGATTGAAGAGCCACTTGATTTGGATGAAGGAGCTCAGCTCCTCTCTCAGCTCTGGGAGTGGTGCTGAGAAGCAATCCAGACCAAGTGAGGCTGTCATCCGAGGCATGCTGGGTTTGCAAACTAAGTCCTTTCCCGCTTCGGTTGGTGGTTGAGTCAGTTTCTGGATGTGAGGAGAGAAGTTTATCCCTCACTCATTCAACTAGCCACTCTAACGCACAACCACCTAGCTGGCTTCCGCGTGCTACTCGTACCCATGGGGGCCTGGTCTGTTTAGCAGCTGCCTAGTGACAAACATGCAAGCCTGGAAAATACTTCACCACTGATCTCTAGGGTTAGGAGCAGGATCCTGGGGCAGGGAGTTGGAGGGAATCAGCGTCTAAGAACAAGGCTGTGGTTTCTGGAGCTGCCATTCTGTTAACATTCATTGCGATGTAAGAGTGATCAGACACTTGGTGGCTGGGACTGGCACAGGCAGGCCATTGATACGGTGAGGGTGCAAGTGCATTTCCATGTTCACTAAGTCATGAATTGGTGGAGAGATGGTAAACTGCTGCTCTCCAGCACCGATTTTGAGACTAGGGGTACGTCTACACTTACCGGAGGGTCCGGCGGCAGGCAATCGATGTTCTGGGATCGATTTATCGCGTCTGGTTTAGACGCGATAAATCGATCCCGGAAGTGCTCGCCGTCGACGCCGGTACTCCAGCTCGGTGAGAGGAGTACGCGGCATCGACGGGGGAGCCTTCCTGCCGCGTTTGGACCCGCGGTAAGTTCGGACTAAGGTACTTCGAATTCAGCTACGTTATTAACGTAGCTGAATTTGCATACCTTAGTCCGAAGTGGGGGGGTAGTGTGGACCAGGCCAAAGAGTGGTAGCTGTGTTTGGCTTAGTCTTTTGGTCTTTATTCCCAGCTCTTTCCTTGGATCCTGAGCCCAATAGGGTAGCAGTACTGGAAATCTGAGTCTAAAATCACTTGTCTGGCTAAAATCCAGAGTCCTAAAAGGCAAATCGGAAATGTAAGAAACCCGAGTGCACTGCACATTTGGAATAATAAACAATTGTTAATGAAACAAAGATGAAATTTACCCCCTCCCCCCCAAAAAAATCTAGTTCCTTCACTTGTAATTAATGTAAAAAAAATGAACATTAACTTTTTAAATGGTATGAATGAACTGGTTCCAAGAACCAAATAAGCAAAAGGAAAGGAGGGGGCCAGAAGCAGATAACCACATGCTCAAGGGAATCTGGACTGGGAAAAAAAAAAAAAGATTTCCAAGCTGAAAACAAGTGAGCTATTTTTCACCGATGCAAACACCTTGCAGGCTGGTGGGGGCGGATGACTGGAATCCTTTGTGGCTGTCCGTAGACACATCTGAAATGTATAAGTTAGTAGAAGTGCTGCTGTCTGGTTTTGTATTAGGAAAATCCATTATTGAAGGCTAAATCCAGCAAATGTCGTGCCTGCTTGGTCTTAGCCCTCGGTCTGTCCATGCTTTGCAGCCACAGACACTAATCACAATTCTAGGGTGGGTAATAATTTTGTTCTGCTGTTTGATCAGACAATGGTACTACAGCCCCTGTTCACCCTGCAGGATTTATGCTGCTCTGAGAATCATGTCCAGGCCACTGCTGATCCTGCTCAGGGAAGCCCTAGATGGTCTAATTCCTGTGCACATGCTTTCCCCGAGGAATAACTTAAAGGGCTTACTTCTTGATGTTTGTTTTTGGTCATCTCTGGCTGGCCACTGCATTGCCAAAGGCAGCCATGAAGAAGCCTCCCCTAATCCTAATGGCAGGCTAAAGACAAAATAACGGCATGTCTTTCCTTGGCTTGCACCAGGAGCAGGGTCTGTTGCTCTGGAAGGATCAGGAAAAGAGCTCTGTGATCCCTGAAGTGTGCTGCTTTAAAAAGAAGCCAAAACTGCCATCAAGAGGCAGCTGGCCCCCAGCTCCTTGAAAGATGCTTGTAAGTTGTAGATAATTAGGAAGTAGGCAGCCAAGCTCACTCCATTACCCGATTCCAGCCTAGAGTTGTAATTTGTATCCTGGCTGCAAAAGAGAATTTGCCAAGGACAGAACTGTAAATCTTAAAATGATCCAGGCATTTTGAGTTGGATCAATCTGACTGTCTAGACACCTATCCTGTCCTCCCCTCCATAGTACAAGTGCCACAGGTTGGTATCTGGTCACTGTGTGTTATGAGACTGTCTATTTTAGATTGTAAGCTCCCCAAGCAGGAGCTGTCTTGTTCCAAGTATTGTACAGCTCCGAGGGCCCTTGGATTGTGCTTGATAAACAATGTGCACGATGAATCCAGTAGTGTGTGGCGCTCTGGAGTGGAGTGCCTTTTCGTGAGCTCATCATAACATGCAGCCATGCAGGTGTTTAATATTTTTATTAGCTTCCATGACAGGCCAGCTATTGCTCTGAACAGATCAGCCTCCCACAGTGCCAGGATCTGTAGTCTTCTGGTCCCTGCAAGCCCCATAAGGCAGCAGAAATATTCTTCTGAGTAGAGTCCTTACTTCTGAAGCAGCTTGAATCCAGAAGTCTTTCCTTCCCTAAATGCTAATGAAAACTCCTGCTTGCCAGCACAGAAGGTTTATTGAGCTGCCTTTGAGGAAATTAACTCTAGATTGCTTTTGTCCCTGAGAGCTTCTTGGTTTTGGTGATCTTAGAGTTCAGTTGTGGGTTTTTCTTGTCATGTTTTTCTTTGCTGCAGTGAGAGATTTCAGGGTAGAAAATGTTGACGTGAAAAGCTCAATCCAAGAACCCCTGACTGGTTGGCACTGTCCACTCTGGCGGTTGTATGTAGTGTACATGTAGCTACATACCACAGTGAAAGGCTCTGGCAGGAGGCAGCCGGGAAAGGCCCCATCTGCTCTCTGCTGCAGGAGCCTTTCACTGCCACGAGGAAAGGCTCTGGCACGGGGAGACAGCCCGGAAAGGCTCTGGGAGCGGGGAGGGAGCAGGGACAGTACACTGATTAAGCATAGCAGTGTAGATGGGGAAGGCACTGCTTGCGCATGCAGAGAGCCATGTAGGATACGTACGCTGAGGTTCTGCTGTGTCTGCTCTACTAGCTTAAGCAGTGCCTCCCCATCTACAGTGCTATTTATATCCATGCTGGGGAGGCGGGTGGGGTCTGTCGTCTACACACCACTGTAGATGTAGCCTTAAAAAGATGGATGCCAAAATCTGAATGCTTGTGCCCCCCCTTCTCCGTTGTTGTGAGGTGATGCTTTATCCCAGATGACATGGTCATGTCCCGTAATTGTTGCTCTGTAGCTGATATCCATTGCTGAAAGATTTAAGGTAGGGATTTAAACTCGTGAATCCTTGTCCAACACTGAGTGTTCATTAAATAGTCTTTTCCTTTCTCTCTCCTAGAGTGTGAGCCGATAGAAGCAATAGCAAAGTTTGACTACATTGGCCGAACTGCACGAGAGCTGTCCTTTAAAAAAGGGGCTTCTCTCCTCCTGTATCAGCGGGCCTCAGATGATTGGTGGGAGGGACGGCACAATGGCGTCGACGGTCTTATCCCTCATCAGTACATTGTTGTTCAAGACACGTATGTAGCCTTTTATTTTATTTATCATGAATTCTGTAATGTGGTATTACACCGTCGTGGGTTCAGCTCTGGTGGCTAGTTTCAAGCTTAACAGAGTGAAAGTCATCTCTGCTACTTGTTTTAGAGTTAGTCTCTAGGAACACATAAAGACCAAGGGTAGTGACCACACAGACATTCACAAGTACAAGGTTTAGTCTATTTTACAAGTGGTGTTAAAGTTACAATTAAAGGTATGATTACTCAAGCATATAGAAATTCTGTATAGACCTATGCACAAGTTACAAATATAGTTATACTCACATCTTTAACAACAGTGTTAGGGTATGATGGGTCTCTCATGGCTTGATCATCAGTAGAGGGATGGTTCCTTCTAGAGACTCCCATAGGGAGCTCAATTTTCCCGTTCTGGGCATCCCCTTTTTATAATGTGATTTTGTCAATACCTACATTCTGCGCATGTCCATAAAAGTGTCAACCCTCTTTTTCTCTCATTGGTCTGTGTCCCATGGATACTTAAGGGACCCCAATTTTCTATAGGCTGTGTAAGTTCCCTTTATTCTCATTAGCATTGACGCACAACCTGTATCCTGTGGTTAAGACGCATGTTGGAGACAGATATGCCTTTACAGTATTTTTATCATCTAATATTCATCTTCTGGGTAATTTTGCATAATATTACCACTTGGTACCTCTTTTCACATAATCTTAGTGCATTGTGTTATTTTCCGGTCACTTATGTCATCATTACTTGTCTCCAAGGCCTAAAATAGCTAAGCTAAAGTCTTGCAGGCCTCAGCTTACAGGTTCTTGCGTTTCAGCTTGTCTTACTTATGTCTAATACTTGGTATACTTGGTTCCTCTAAAAACTGATCAATCTTATACTTTTATAATCCTACAAATTAACTCTAACATACAATGAATATATGTAATATAACACCTTGATTATCCATTTATTGTGTGATGTTATGATTAATAATAAACTAAAATCATTGGCTACATGTACGTTACCGCTACAGTGATCCAGGGGTGGGTTGCTGAATGCCTGGAAGATTTGGGTACAGTTAAATCTTATTTGAGCAAGAAAAATTTTTCAAACTCAGTGATCTACACTGTGATGCCCAGGCCTGCGCTGTATTGGGATTACGTAGTCCTGATCTCACAAGCTTTTCCCTGCAGGAGCAATGCCATTGAAGTCACTGGGGCTTAATGTATGTGCTGGGTTCCACCTGCGCTGAGCTAGTAGGTTCAGCATCTTTGTCCTCTAAAAGTAATATTTGCCCACCTGAGGAATCCCAGTGCACAGCTGGGCTCTCAAAGATAGGCACAAAAATTGACTTCATAATTTGGAACAAAACTTGTCCCTCACAATGTAGTGATGACAAAAGGGGGGCAGAGTGGGCACAATAGAATCTTCTGAAAACTTAAGATTGTGTTTTTGTTTGTGCTTTCCTTCCCCTCCTCCTCCTTAGTGAGGATGGTTCCTCTGAAAGATCCAGCCCCAAGTCCGAAATAGAAATCAATTCTGAGCCACCAGAAGAAAAAGTGACAGCCAGAGCCGGTGCCAATTGTCCAAGTGGGGGTCACGTCGCTGATATTTATCTTGCAAACATCAACAAGTAAGAGCCATCTTGCGTTTTTCTACTTGGTACAGAAATCTTGGTGCTGAGCGTTGTGGGACATTTCTCTCTTGTGATAGGCGTAGGAATAAGTGGTACCACTTCCTCTCTGTTTCCTCCTCCCTATACCTATCCGTACCCCACCACTCACTCTCTAGCTCCTTCTTTCTCCAGCCTGGCCCACTGTCACCTATTTCCCCCACTTCAGTTCCACATCATCCCCTGCCCTAAAGATGAAAATCTGAAATCCAATAGTACATACACTAACATTTAAACAACTATTGTGTATGTAGCAGAGCCACAAAGATGATATTCTTGCATTGCTGTTAATTATTTGTTTCTCTAGAGCATGAAGGTAGTAGAAAATAATACACTGAGAAGATCGGTAGGCATGTGGAGGGTAGACAGCGAGCCCATGGCGGAAATTAGGGAAAAGATTAATTTGGGACTCTTAATGATAGACAGGCTGGAGAGCGCACATGAGATGATGATAGGAGAAGAATGACCAGCAAAGGAAGCATGGGTGGGGAAGGACGTGGAAGACTGAGGATACAATGGAAAGACTCTGTCAAGAGAAGTTTGAAGAGAGAAAAGGATTAGAGCTTCAAGACCTACGAACCCATGCCTTCGAATAGAAGGAGTGGTGAAGAATTAGGGGCACTTCCAATGCTGTGTAAACAGGAAAAGGAGTCAAGAAGGGAAATGTTAAACCATAAAGGCTCCAGACAGGATCTGTTCTCCATGGTATGAGGCATTGTACTATCACATAGGAAGATGGTCCCATACTACCCAGAAGATCATAGTCGTCATCACATGACTTTTTTTGTAACCCCTTTTCTCCTATTCCAACCCCATTGTTTGTTCTTACCCTTTGGTGCCGCCTCTTTACATTTTAGATTATTTGCTCTTTAGGACAGGGTTTTTTTTTTTTTTTTTTTTTTTTTATAAATGTATCTTGTAAGACATTTAGCACAGTTTTGGGTGCTATGAAGCACTAATGAAAGATAGATCCTCTTTTCAACTGCCTCAATGCCATCCATAATGATCTCTCCTTTCTCACGCTTTTTACCCAAAGGAAGTTACTATGTATGTACAGTGCTACTGAAATAACTGTCCTCACTTCCAATTTTGTCTGTTCAATGAAAAATTGTTAGAGTAGCCTAAGGCCGAGTTGACGAAAATCTGAAAAACGAAACTGGAATGAGATGAAATGTGTCTCACTTTTTATATTTATTTATTTTTAAGGCAGGGTTCTCCCCCCAGATCTTTCAGATTCTCCCATTACTATAAAACAGCATGCTGTGTTACCGAAATGTCTTTCTCTGCAATAAATCTGTGCCTTAAAGCTACTAGTATTGATAATTGTAACATTCTAGAACTGAATGAAAATATCAACCTTTAATTAGCCTAACAGGGACTCTAGGGCAAAGATAGAAAATAATCATTTTAAGTTGCCCACTGTTTGTATTAAATAATGGGCCAGATCCTCAACTAATGTGAGTTAATCCAGCTCTGTTGATATCATTGACACTATATCACCGTGCACCACCTTAGGGTCTGGCATTTTTATATGTTCTATGAGCCATTAAAGCACAGAACTCTACCAGTTATGGAAGGATTTGTATAATGATCAGATCCGTTCTGGAGGCTCACCATCTGTTATGGACACTGCACCAAAGGGGAGAGCTCCTAGGGCTTGGTTAGGCTTAGTTCATGTTTTCCTTTTACCAGGGAAGGTGTGATAATTAGGAGCATAATACTCATGTTGTGTTTTCTTTAGAAATGAATATTCTGATCTGTGCAGAGCTGGACAAAATAGATCAGATGGTTTCACTGTAGCAGTTGTGCCGCCCACTGAATTATTTTTCTGATGCCAAAATCCAGCTGGAACGAGAACTTTCTAGCAGTTATTCACAGGGCCTGTGCTATATATAAATTAATCCTCTTTAAAGGATTCAGTGGGTTCCTCTATTGCTTGACACATTCCTGCTACGATGATCATACGTCATTTGCTTGGAGTCATGCTTTCAGACTGCATGCTACTGGATGGAGATAGGTTAACTGGTAAAAACAACTATTTCACAGCACCCTATACACTTATAGCACACTATAATTAAGCCACAATGGTCTTGTTCAGTATAGAGAAGATACATTTACTGTAAACAGGAAATGACTATTAGCTTAGCCACACTGCAGGTCACCAGCCATACCTGTAGAGCTGTAAATATCTTCTTGCTTCTGGCCCCAGAGTTTGATTAGGCTTTCTCCCCGGCCCCTCAGCCAAAAATAGAAGCTCTGCTGGTCTAATATCATGAAAGCAGGCAGCCAAACGAGCTGACAACACAGAATTATTTTAGTTAAAAGTGCAAAATCTTTGTTTCATAACCATGTGTGACCAGGAGCCATGCTGGGGTCACTTCAGTTAGGGTGAACTGCAAAGAATGGGGCAGACCATCCCCCAAGCTGATGGATATTCTAATACTTAGATTTACCAGACCAGCACAAAACAGCTTCTATAATACCTCACTGGTTACCCAGAAGCCAGAACACAGTCCCCTTAAAGTAACCCAGTCTTAGGCCTCCACCCAGACACCCAAGGCAAATATGGTGAGGATTACTGAAAATCTTACTCATCGTATACAAAAGTTCTACCAATCCCAAAGGATCAGACGCGTTACCGCCCAGGTTAATGAATATTCCAGATCTTACCCAAATATACACTTACAGCCAATCCTTATTAACTAAACTAAAATTTATTTAAAAAGGAGAGAGAGAGAGTGTATTGGTTAAAAAGTCAGTATACATACAGACATGAGTACAGTTTCTGAGATGAGATTCATAGTAGGGATGGTAAGTTTTGTAATTGCAAAGAGTTCTTTCAGATATAGTCCATAGGTTATAGTTCAATGATCATATTCAGGATGATCCAGACAGGTCTGGAGATCTCAGTCTTAGGATTTAAACTTCCCCTGCATGAAGCATCAAGCAGATCTGAGATAAAAAGGATCAGGACTCAAGGGGTTTTTATACAGTTCCAGGCCTTCTCTTGACAGGTCGGAGTCCTTAGGTGAACAATAGGCAATCATGGAGACTTTGAAGTAGACCTGTTTCCTGATCATCATGGGTAATTAACTACACGGATTAACATAAGGCAGTTGCCTGTTTTTCCACCATTCGCAGGTGATTTGCTGTACATTTCAAAGAGATGAATCACTATGTTTATAGTTCATTTAAATATTAAGAGATCCTTTTGATCTCTGAATTAACAGAATACAGCATAGATTGGGACTGTTTGATTACATTGTTAACATCTAACAATATATATGTAAACACACACAAACATTATCTACCAAAATGTCCGTAAGGGTTGAATTTGGGTCATTTATCTGCAGGATGCTTAACGCTTTCTCACCATGGGTCACACCATGTTAAATATATTCTCCATTCAGTCTTTTGTTTTAATGACAAGTGTTGTGATAGTGACTTGTGAGAGTGATAGTGACAACCAGGCCACCTTTAGATCTTTCTGTTGTCCTCTGTGTTGTCTCAGGACGTCTATATTGAGGTATGGCCCATCCCCGACACCTGCTTGTACTGACTTGTTTTGCTTCTGTGTTGGAAGGCAAAGAAAGAGACCAGAGTCAGGCAGCATCAGAAGAGCGTTCCGTCAAAGCGACAGCCACGGACTGGCTAGTTCACTGGTAGAACCAGCCTCCCCAGGAGCCACAGCTAGCGCTAGACCCTCATCTCAGCCCATTATGAGCCAGAGTCTCCCCAAGGAGGTACCAGATAAATGCTCCATCAGCGGCCACGGCAGCCTCAATTCTATCAGCCGGCACTCATCTCTGAAGAACAGGATAGACAGCCCACAGATCCGTAAAACTGTGACTGCAGGCAGGTCAAAGAGTTTCAATAACCATCGGCCCATGGATCCTGAGGTCATTGCGCAGGTAAAGGGGATTGCTTGGCATAAAGGGTTCAGTGAAGTGTCCCTTTTGTATTTGTAAGGAAAGAGTGTCATGATTTTAAACCTTATCCAACTCATCCTGAGTAAACCGCTCCTTAGTGTGGTGCCTCTATCCTTCAGGCTTGGGGAGAGGATTGTGTGTTCCAATCCTTGGCACTTGTAAGCACTTCACGGGTTCATAGACAGATGCTGAATTCCCTGTGCTTGTCACTCACTCCTCTGCATAAGCAATGTGTGTATCCACCCACCTAGTTATTTCCCTAAATTTCTCATAGCGGTTACTGCACAACAGATGCACTGGGCTTGCGTGGGCAATACAAAGAAGTGGGGAGGTCGCAGATATGCACAATTCAAAGTTTGGCTTTCTGGGTTTTTGACCCATCATCTATTTGTGTTGTAGCTTTTCTTACTGTCTCTGCAGTATGCAGACATGGGTTGTAGGCTATTTATTGGTATATTTATTTATAATTGGTGGGGCAAGGAAGCAAGGATTTGTGATCATACTTGTCTCTTTGGCTGCTTGTTACAATCAAATGTTTCGAATTCAAATTGTGGCTTAGTTTTACAACTTGCATCCTTTGTGTTGGATTAATAAAATATTAACCCTCTACGTGGCTAGAATCTAATCCTGTAAACGTACATCGGGTAAGTCAGTGAGACTGCTCACGTGAGTAAAGATAAATGGATGAATCCTTTACTAAGTAGAAACTTCTGCACATTTATTATTTATATTCTACCGTTTCAAAGGTTCGGGTGTGTCCATCACCAAAAATTATACTCTGATTCCAAAGCTGTCAGCAAAATATTAAATAATCCAAATTCCAGAGCATGAGAAAAGCAGGGTATTAAGTGTCAATTTTAAACCCTTTCACCAGTTGAGCAAGTTTGTTTGACTGTAGTTAGATGTTGGAGGTATATGCAGTAGTATAATCAAAATAAAAGCAGACTTGCCCTATTCTTCTATTTTCATAGTGCTATATTTTGGTACTTGTAGGTTTCAATGTGTGGTGAAAAGCCACCTTCAAAGAAAATAGTCTTGACGTTTTGATTTCTTTAGACAGGTGTTTAAGGAATGTGGTCGGGTGTCTAACCAGTATGTACACAGCTGTTCCTTAACCCTGCAGAGATGGTGTTCTACATTTTAGACCAAGTCAGCATACAAGGAAAAGGGGCTTTGTTATTAGTTCATCTTTAAAACCCTTACTATTTTGAATCTCCCTCTCTCTTAGCTTTTGACATGAGCACTTCTCATAAAATCCTCATCTCTATGCACAAAATCTCTCCATCTCTTGCTTCTTTGGGACCATGGACCATTACAGTAATGACCTATGTCAATAGAAAAAACAATCAGAAATTCACAATGAAGTCTCAGCTTGCACTGTCCAGAACTGACCAGTGCCAGAACATGTCACAAAACAGATCTAAAACACCCAGATGCTTGAAGTGAAACCTAGATTGCAAGGGGTGAGAGCTACCAATGCAGATAAATGGGTAGGTATTACAGGCTCTAGCTGACTTCCTCCTAATCACTGGAGGATCTCCCCTTGCCCCCCATTCCAAACTGTCGATATATCTACACATGCATGCTTGCCCTTGCCAGCTGTTTTCAGTGTGTGGTGGATCTATCTAAAGCTAAGGAACACTTGGCTCTCAGATTACATAGTCAGCTCTGAGATATGCAAGAAGGCCAGTTTCTACAGTCTTCTGGAACCAAAAGTGACATGATTTCAAAAGAATCCCAAAAGGAGTGGGTAGGTGACAATGAATAAAACACCTTTTTACAGGCAAATCAGTGGTGGTAGATATTTTATACTTGATATTGGGTTATTGTAATGTAAACATGGGCCTTTTGCCCAGAATCCAAGTGAATATCTGTTACATCCTCTGTTGTTGGGTTTGTTTGTTTTTGTTGTGGGGGGGGGGGAGGAGGGGCTATATTTTGCTCTTGTAGTATCTTTAGCCTGCTCTGTTCTGTGAGAAGGTAATGTACAGGTCTCATTGTCTTGACATTTTTTTCTTGAGGTTTGGTTGACACAAATCAATCTTTGTCTTTCAATTAAACTCTCACTTAGTTTTTCTCTTCAGTCTCTTCTTGCCCGAATATAAAGTCCAGTCATTTATAATTCACTAGTGGAAACAAAAGTTTTAAAAAATTAGCTGCATTGAGTGCTCCCTTTTGTGCCATGTCATATGTCAGTTCAGACACTAATAATCATCTTACATTTTTACATATCTTTCATAGTTGTGTGTTTCTTAAAACCTGTTTGGTCTTGCTATATGGTTGGAGGTGTCAAGCCACCGTCTCTGGTTCCCTCTACCACTCCTTGACTGATTTACCTCCCCCTGCACCTAACAAAGCTTCCAAGGAAGCTAAAAAGTTGTAGCTAAACTGAGTCATGGAAAAGCTAAACCATTCCACTCTCATATGAATTCTGTTCATGGACAGTAGACTCAACCCATAGCTTAGGTCTTAGCAAACGTGTAGGTCTCAATATAGCTGAGACTAAAACCCACTGACAACATTTATTATTGGTCTCATGAAGTTCTCTATGCCTCCTGGTTAATACCTAGAGTATTCTGTAAGCTGGAAGGGAAATGCTGACAACTTGTTTTTTACATGTGTCCAATATCTTTTACGGATTTTAAAAGCTCAATATGATTTACAGGTCCAGTGTGATGTCTTCATGGGGGATACCAGCCCTTGCATATGTGCAGATCCAATGAGATGGATAGGTAACCCATGCAAACTCCAGCATCCTAGGATGCTATCACCCTTAAAGGATGTAGGAAGCAGTGAACAGCATGATTTCATCCTTTTCAAGGAGTTACTCTCCACAGTACCGTTTGGAGGATTATCCTTCTGTTTATCAAAAAAAGAAAGACCAGAATAGATCCATATCAATTGAAACTGCAGGTTTTTTTCTCTGTAGTTCAGCCCAGGAGGGATTTTATTTGTGTCTTTTGATGTCCTGGTGAAAACATAAGAGAATTCAGGAATAACAAAGCATAAAACTAGCCTTAAAAAAAAGTCTTGATTAGTTTGTTCCCTACTGCTGGTTAATGTTATATCACTAAGTGATTTCTATATGTGCAGCTAAATACAGTCAATAGCCCTAGCATGTACAGTCTAACACGGGTTTTGCTTTATGGTAATTAAGGTCCTATTAACCCTTAGCAGACGATGATTTGCTGACCCCTGGAGCTGAAGAAAAATGAACTCTCTCTGCAGTTGACTCTTACAGAACTGTGCTTGTTTACGTGTATCTGGCCCCTGTGATCATTTGTCTTTTTTTTAAATCTTTGCAGGACATTGAAGCTACCATGAACACTGCTCTGAATGAACTGCGGGAGTTGGAAAGGCAAAGCAGCGTAAAGCACACACCAGATGTTGTCCTCGACACCCTGGAGCCTTTGAAAACCTCCCCTGTTGTGGCACCCACCTCAGAACCTTCCAGCCCTCTGCATACCCAGATTCTTAAGGACTCCGAACCAGCATTCCAGCGGAGCGCCAGCACTGCTGGTGACATCCCATGCGCCTTCAGGCCAGTGAAGTCAGTCAAAATGGCTGCCCAGGTTAAACCTCCAGCAACAAGGCCGAAGCCTGCAGTTTTCCCCAAAACAAATGCCACAAGCCCTGGTGTTGCTTCTTCCGCATCTCAACAGCCTACTGACAAGTCCTGTACTGTCTGAACCAGAAGCCCCACTGTGGATATAATTTTGTTGTTTCAAATGAGGGGACTATATTAAAGACACGTGAAAATTCCTATTTAACTAGTTTCGGACTTCTGCTGAAGGTTAGTTTGTAAGTCGTTACTGCCAGGAGCGCTCCCTGGGAGTGAAGACATGGGTAGTTAAGCCTCGCCACATGCACACCACAACAGCATACCTTGCTTATGAAATACAGACAGAAAATCGAACATCAGGTCACTGTGAAAGTGATGAGGCCAACACAAAGGACTGATGAATTGGTTCTCAGTTTATAGTTGATGCCTTGTTCGTGTTTGGCCACTGAGAGAAGTACTCAGTGGTGCCATGTTTTGGATACTGGTGTAATGACTTATATATATTCATTTGCCACAGGGAAACAATCCAATAGATTTTAGTCTACTGCATGTTTTGGTACCACTAGTTATGTGGAGCTTGGACATGCCTGATTCTTGTGCATTATTACATTTCCTGCTGGTGCCACTGCTGTTAAGGGTCTGTCTCGATTTCCATTACATCCTCTCTCTTTCAGCAGTCTTAGCTCCTAGCCATGTCAAGCTCCCCTTGATTGAAACTTGTCATGACAAATACTCAGCTCTGGAACATGAGTTCTGTGTTGTGTTGGTGCAGATTTAAATAAAGCAAATCTATTTCTGAGTTTTAGGAGGGAAAAAAATAGAATTGCTGAGTATGGCCACCGTGCAGTTGTTTTGGTGCTCCCAGTTTTAAAAGCAGCTTTGTTCTTTTAAAATGAAACTTTCAGGGCATTAGACAATAATGCAGTGTGTGCTGTTCAGTGGGAACTTGGAAGGTGGAATGTAAAAACGAGTTACCTTCTGAAAACCAGCTGCTGTGCTCTCTCAGGAGTGGCATTTCCTAACGTGATCATAAGTTGAGATGGGCTCAAACCGAAACCCCACTTCTGAACATCCCTAAAGCTTGATTCTGAAACTCTTTGCAGCTTGGCCCTGTTTTTGATTCGTAAAGACTTTGTTCTATGGCTCTCACCACTATGAACTATTGTGGAGGACCCCAGCGTAAGGAGAGTGGTGGCAGCATGCTCTATGGGTGATTGGCACTACAGTGTCCAGCTCCTAAATTGCTTAAATACATATTTCTATGATAAATCATCATGCCTCCAAGGGATTCTGCTGACAAATTAGTGACTTCTTAGTATATATGTGTGTGACAGACTGACTGCTTCAGCTACTAGCAGGCTGTATGGACTTTTCTGTGCTTTCATGGCAATATATTTTCCAGAATGCTGCCATATATTTAATGAAGGGGGAAAAAAAGGCACATGCTATGTTAAGATAATGAGTCTCACAGCCCCACTAGACAAGGGATCTTGCAACTGACTTTCCATCCTTACCTTGCCCATCATGCCCAAATATTGCTGGAGTCTGAATAGCCCTACCATTTATGTTCTCGTTGTAGTTACTCAAGAAAGAACAACATAAGGAAGGTGACTCTCCCAACTCTAGTCGTGTCCTTTGATATTTGTGGGCCTGAATCACACCTTAACTTCGTGGTTTAATGCAGGTTGTGATGTTTAACTAGCATTGTAATAAAAACAAGGTATGTTGCATCTCTAAGAACAAGTTGGCCTTAAACATCCACTTCTAATTCCTTTTAAAGGAGGTTACTTGGATAGACACTGTTTTTCAATCTCTTTGAAAGAGAAGATTTTTTTGTATTAATGCTTGTGTAAAAAGGACTGATTTTCTCTGTGTCCTAAATTATGGAGACATGAGAAGTTCATGGACTACAGGAGAAAGAAACCCCTGAAAAAGATTTGTTGGGACCATTTTAATTGTTTATTTTCTTAGTTAACATCTAATAGCCCTTATCTTTTGGAAACACTGCACTGTGTGTGTTACTTCTGTCAGATCTTAACCTGTCCATATCAAAGGGAATGAAACCCAACTGTGTGACCAGCTCGGTTGCTCTCAGGTTCAGATGGACTCCTAGCACCAAGGAATCTCAGTCTCTTTTTGGAAACTAATAATTTTAAAAAGCAACTAATGATTTATTTTTCACTCAGGCAAAGTTTTGTGGTAAATATTTTATTTTTGGGGGATCATGACTGGCCAAAGGGAATGCATGTCACTCACTACACAGGAAATGAACAGAACAGGATCTCTTTGTAAATTCACTTTCATTCTTTGCAATGCCTTATTTTTTTGTTTGTTTATTTTATGCTTTGCATTCACGTTACCAAGGGACGACATCCAGCCATACAAGGCATCTTAGGACAAGATCTCATGTCTTCAAAGCTCACAAAATGAGTGGAAATAAGGTTTTTTACTATACCATACTATAACAGCCATTGTCTGTGTATGGAATTACTATGCCTATCTCTAGTGACCACAACACTGGGAAGATCCTACTGACAAGAGGAATAAGAACTTACAATGATAAACAATATCCTGTGCAAATCAACTGGAATTTCGGTGTGCACTGTGACTTGCACTGAAAACATACACCTAGCAACGTGGCAGTTTGAAGGGCATCTTTTCTCTTCCATGTTGTCTGGGCCTATCAAACCAGCACGAAACACACAGAAAAACCACTTGTGGCTAGTCCGCTTCATGCTGTGAACTCTATGGGGCAGGAGGATAGTTTGCTACAAAGCGTTACTACCATTTGTTGGGAGAGGGAAAACTGGAAAAGACTGTGCCCACTGGGCATCCTACTGAAGAGACCAACATGGCGTGGAGAAACAGGACACAGTGTGGCGGATGGGGAGGTTTATATGTTACCTCATAGTCAGAAGAAATATTAGATCTTCCAGAGAGATGCAGTTACGTGTGTGTCAGATTAATGGTATATCTCTTTAAAGAAAAGAAGCGTTGATAACTGGAATAATGTATGTCTGCTTGGCAATACTCTGTAAGAACATAAGTCTGTCACTTATCAAATGATGGATTAGAATAATCCAAAGCAAAACTTTTGAAAATAAAATACAGTTTTAGGTGATCAGTCAATAGTTTCTGCAGCACCAACCTTTATATGTTTCCCATCCCCAGTTGGGTGTTAGGCAATGTGCTTTAATGATTGCTAAATTTCTGCCTCTCTGTGGTAATATGAGCTCTAAAATTAGTGTGTGTCAAAACAATGACATGACCAAAAAATGTTCACTTTATCTGTACTGGATGTTTGATTGCAAAGAAAACCATTAGATAATTACAGTACACTGTGACAGTGCAAGAATTCTCCTGAATATATTTTGATGCCTCTTTAAAAGGAGAGAGTCTTTGGGCTTCCTGTAAAGAATACCTCATTTGTTCGTTTTTAATGTAAGAGTGTTCTTGCACATTTCTGTGTTCAGATTACAAAGTTCTGACAAACTCAGAAAATCATAGCACTTGAGAGTTCAGGGCAGGAAATTCTATCCCTTGAGCCTCCCCATCTTGTTGTACCTTGGTATCGGGTAAATTTATCACTAAGATACATTCCCCACATCAGGGAGAGCTCTGCAGTATTGGACAAAGGGATGGCTTAAAGGTGGAGTTTTAGGCTTCACTCTGTTTCTTTTGTGTGTTGGTCAGAACTTCAACACTTAATTGAACATGGAATGGGCTTTGAGACCTAGGGTTGTGTGTGTGTGTGAGAGCGCTCTCTTGAATTTTTCGGCAGAAGTATGCTTCCCTATAGCAAGCACATCACAAATTCTGTATACATGTGTCTACCTGATAGACTGAACTGGCTCTGTCAATTAATGAAACACCTATTGCGGCTTTTTTAAGGTAGATTATTTCCCCAGGTGGGTATAATGCTCTAATAAAGTACCTGGGGATGGGTAAATATCTATTTAAACAATTTGTTCAATAGATCTCCGCAAATGCTGAGTACTCTGGCCCCAGTCCAGCAAACCAATAAGCATGTGCTTAACTTTAAGCATGTGAATAGTCTCTCTGAAGTTGAGAATGTGCTTGTTGATTTGTTGGATTGGGGTCTTATGGACTCAGCACTTAGTAGGATCGAGCCCTGACACCATAGGGACTTGTTCCAAAACACAAATATGTCCTCCTTGGGCCATATGCCACCAGCTAGGAAAACTGTGAAGCTAAAATGAAAATAAAAAGCCAGAAACAGGCTGCGGGGAGCATTCAGAACAGAAACTAGTTGTAACATAATGTTTTGGTTCTTTTTTTAAAAACCTTTCTGTGAAATCTGGCATTGGCTGGACATCCCATGTATGTAGCATTAGTTATCAGGAGACAGGTAACTCATGGGTGTCTTTAGTGAACCAGCAAGAGAGAGAGGACTTCACAAAAGGAAACAATTCTTAAATGTTAGGAGTTAAAGCTCATTCTGTGCTGAATGCTTCCTACGTCTGGGCAAGAGGAAGCAATAAGCACTTGGTGGTGGGTGTAATTCCACTTTGGTTTCAGCCTGACAGATCACCTCTCAAGGTATTTTCCCTCCCACATCATCTCTTTCTATGTGCAACCACCTGTACTGGGAAATGATACTTGACCCCCGTCCTGTGCCCACACAAAGGCTCAAGGGAGCCATTCTAATCAGTCTGCTGTGTAACGCACAAATTACTGGGTGTGCTGTAGCTGCTTTTCAAACATTCACCTCGGCCTGTTCACCTACAAATGCCCAAAAGGAGATGAATGGATTTTTTCCAAGCTTCGATCTAAGATTGCATTTCAGTTGATCTAGGGGGAGCCAAAACAGCTGTTTAAAAACTGGAAAAATTGGAGTTTCTCATGCTGTACCTCCAGTAACATTGTTTGGGGCAAATGGATTTCCAGTTTTTTCCAAAAATGGATGAACAAGAGGAAGAGTTCCTTCTGTGCAAATACTTGATAGTCCAAGTCTCAATGCAGGGTAAACATTCAGCAGTTTGCAATGGAAACTAGACGGACCCTTTATTTTAGCAGCACTGTAATAAGTGAACTTCACCAGCCTTTCTCTAGAGGCAGAGTGCTATAATCTGCATAAACTGAGTTCCCTGGAACTGGGTTTGGAGT